TCGCCCTTCTCTGTACTAATGTTGTGAGCCTCGTCACTTCGCTCTTAAAATGTTCGTAATATCCTGCGCAGCATGATCCTGTTGTTTTTATTTCGTTATTTTATCCGTAAATCAATTCTTATTCCTAATACGAGATCTGGCTCCAAATGTGCCCCCTATAATCATGAGCATTGTGAGCTTCATTTGACCACTAGCTGCCCATTGTTTTTGATTTGATTTTATTCTCTTGGTTTTAAGGGATTATTATTAAAGAAGTCGGATAACCACAGGAGTAGACACAAGTGCATGGCTGGAGAGGTGGGCCAGTCTCTGTAAATATGTGCTCCTTGGTGGGTATCACTGCTAGTATTGTTCATTTGACTGGAGCTGAACGTTATGGCTGACTTCACACTCCCTTAGTCCACTTCAGAGTCCTGCACGGGTCTGTTTTTGGAGCCCCGCGCCCGCCCGCACCGGCACAGTACAGCACCGCACCCACCTGTAAACCCGTGATTGTATCAAAGTTAAACCTGCACTCACAGACAAGTTACAAGAGTTCTAAATGAAGCATCCATCAGAATATGAATTGAAAAGTTACGACTTCAAGAATTACAATCACGAAATGAAATGAAACGATTACGCTTTCTTCAGTATGAATACGAATTCACAGACGCGACTCTGCTGTCGTCACTCCACAGGCATTATTTACTGAGCAGAAGAAACACTGACTGAGATGCTGTATTTTTGTGCCGCACACACCACGGGCTGAACCAAGACTAAAATAGGACTAACCTAGGACTAACCCAGGGCTGATTCTAGGACAGAACCAGGAGGACGAAACCAGGACTGAACCAGGACTGAACCAGGACTCACTGTCAGGACTGGCTCGGAGGTGCGCGTGCGTAGACTGTCAGGTGGCCCGATCACACTCTCTCTCGCTTGGGGTTCTCCCTCTCTCTTAAGTCCAAGATTAGTCCTGGTGTAGTCCTGGTGTAGTCCTGGTGTAGTCCTGGTGTAGTCCTGGTGTAGTCCTGACCCGTCCGTGTGTAATCACTAGCCGCCCGTATACCCGCCTGGTTCAGCAACTGTTTACCTGACCCGGTGCAGGACTGGACCACTTAGTCTATATGAAGACCCCTGCCAACTGATTTATGCGAGTTAAAACCAAATAACACACTTTTCACAATTTTCAGCTGACAATTAGTTCCGGATAGCTTTGTCAAAAGTAATAATTAATGAAAACGCAAATCTCAGAGAAAAGCCAAAAATAACTGCGCAAACAAACAGCAGGTGCACGGTTTTGACAGGTGCGATTTTGCAGTCGTCGTATCCGTTATTCTGCCTGCCCCTGTTTAGTCTGCGCTTTATAATACAGCACAGAGCCTTGGGGAACAGATGAGAAAACAGTCACAATTTGGCCACATACAATTTGATGACATGACCGGAAAAATCAATAGGAATTCATTGTGGGGACCCCCTAAGCTGAACCAGCAGAACAAAGGGACTGTTGTGTGTATGGCTGCTGTGGTAATAGCTCCAAATCAAGCCACAAGTTCAGTGCATTACAGCCCTCTCCTGTGGTTTACCCCCGACAGTTAGCCTGCTTCATCACATAATGGGGACCCAAGCAGTGACAGTTTTGTTTTCCGAAACCCGGTTACTATTTCAGGATGTGTGGAAATAAACAGCAAAATGGAAACTATATGCAATATGCTCCAAAGCTGCGGCCAATAATGTGATCTTTCAAGTCCTAATACAGATCTAGTTCAGAATATATTTGTGTATTCATTTCATTGGCTCGATTGCTGGTATCGTGACCCCGTGTCCTGATTGAGATTGACAGCCAGCTAAGCTCTCTCTTGCGTCATTTCCTCCAAGGAACAGGCAGCTGTGTTTGACCAGGATTTAATGCAAAAAAAAAGTGTGAAACTGAAACAAAAATACAAAGAAGTGTTCAGAGGGCAGTAAAATCAAGGGTGTACATTAAAGTTACATTATATAGATAATTAAACGGTTAATATTAGCTGAGAAGTAAGACACATAACTCAAATAGGCTCCATAACCACTACTGGAACATCTCAAACAACATCTATAAAATGCCACAAACTTTAACAAAGTGCTCCAAATATATTTGTCAACATTCATTTTTAAACATAAAAACTTACTCATATTGCCACTCAAAGGCCTGGAAATAATAGGATGGTGTCAGATCTAAGAGCAAAAGACATCATGGACTGATTGACATTTATCAAACTAGTTGTTTCCTTCTGGTAACCTACTGTTTAAATATACGACCACAATCGCGACTAGCACCCTCTAGCAGGCCAGATAATACAATATAAAACATATTTCAATACAATATTCGGCTGAAAAATATTGTTTTCAGTCTCTGTACTGGTATCGGTTGATATCAGCTATCAGCGTATACTTAGGCTATGTTTATATGATTACGGTCTGAACAGAAGACGCAAAAGTGGCGTGGCGTCTTCACTTTTTATTCTGCGTTTAGATGAGCGTTTTCGGGAGGAAATCTGCATGCATACAGTGACGCAAAACTGTGTGGAATTCGATTGGGTAAGTATGCCAGGGGGTTAGGTGGTGACGTATGTGACGTAAACGTGTATGTGCAACGTGAGCAGATTTGACCAGAGTTTTGCGTCTTGGTCAGTGTAGACGGAAACACTACAGCGACAAGCGTATTCAACTTTTCCACTCTGGAGTTTGGTTTCAGATTTTTGAGTTTTCAATCCCCAAAACGTCATCACCGTCTAAACGAAAGGCACTTCCGATAAAACGTTTTGTCGTTTTTACCCGCCCTTAAAATCATAGTACGGAAATAAGTATTGGAACTGAAAAAGCTGGATTGGTGCATCCACAGTTGATATCTGCAGATTCCTCACCAGAAGCAATATCTGAGAGTTTCTCTGAACACTATACCCGGGGAATGACAGTGTGAGATTCCCTTTTGCAAATATAGGAGAAATGTAGGCCTGTCATGATAATTACAACTTAAATGATAGCCAGAAGAACATATTTTGGGGCTCATTATTTATGATGGGTACATTTTCTTTGCAATAGTGGGGAGATTTTTGTCATTTTTATGTAATAACGTAAGATTTGAGCTGTAGAGGGGAGAATACATAACTGCTATGGCTAATTATCGGTTCATTCTGACATTATTTGCTGCAACTCTGACTTTTTACTGATACTGTATATTTAAAAATTGTATTATCCTGCTTTTTGACAGTGGAATAGAAGGGAAGAAGTCTCAAGAAGTTTCATTATTGTCGTTTATCAAATATTTCTCTGCAGCAATAGATCGTGCTTTAAAATTTGTTATCGTGATAGGCCTAGAGAAATGGGAATTCTGGCATTTTCCAAATAGGTTAAACGAAAGGACCTATACTACAGATTATGTGATCCGGGTTTAACTATTTTTGCGTTTTTCAGGCTGCTGATTTAACTTTAACTAAGATGCCATCATTTTCAATATGAAAACATGAAAAGTCTGGCACCCAAAGCAACAAGCTTTCGAACTGTATTAAAAATGAAACTTACATAATGTTGTGAGTGTGATAAAGCCACACAACAGTTCTTATGAGTAAAATCAATATTAATACACAAAACGCCAGAGGTAATAACACAAAATGTTGTGGCGTGCAAGAAAGTTTGGTCCCAAGCAGAATCTTTTTTTGTTTCTAATAACTGTAGTCTGTGGCAAATACAGTAAACATAAACAGGGAGGCGCTGATACGATACTGGTAAATTATAGCTGCATTGAACATTTTGGTGGATCAGATATCGGCTTCCAAGATATCGATTCTTATTATAAATTTTTTTGCTTTCGTGTTGCTCTTTTTTTTCAAGCTGTTCTGTAATTACTTTAAATGATAAATAAAAGTGATAAAACACATTTGGATCTTTTAGTTTATCTTCAGCTGTTTGTGCTTAAAGTTTTTTTTTTTTTGTTTATCTGCCATGGAATTGGAAGATACTTAAAACCAAAGTATACACATTGGATCAGTGAACCTCTATACATAACGGAAATTAGGGCTGGGTATCATTAATAATTTGCCGATACGATACACATCTTGATACAATGCAGTTTTGATTTGATACAATATACTTAAAATCGACTTGAGACAATAAATTCAATAAAAAATAAAGGCTAAATCATGGCTGTGATACTAAAAGTCTTTGTTAAACCACTTCTTATGCAAAGTTCATATGAAACACAAACAGTGAAAATGTCGATTGTGTCACATAACGAGTTTCCTTCCCCCAATCAAGCAACAAAACTGTGGCACTGTGTAACAAAATATTTTAGTAAAACCTATCAAAAAATACTCTTGGCAATATATCGATACAGCAGCCTGCGATATTGATATTGTATCATCACATTATACAATAAGATATTTCAATATTTTTGCTCACCCCTAATGGAAATATACATTTTTTATAATATTGATGGTACTGACTGTCAGCAAGTTACTTTTGCCTACTTTCTACTACAGATGAAACTATATCCAAGTCTCTCGATACGTTACTTTCGTGATATGCATCTCACGGTACAATATTTACTGAGATATTCTTGAAATGTTCTACTTTTTCCCTTTTTAAAATGCCTTGAAAAACCATTGGTACTATCATAATACAAAGAATTAAGCTTTAAAAGTGCTTAATAACAGTTATTTCTTCATGTAGTCGGCGAAGAGATGGAGCAAAGAATCATGATCTACGTAGTTCCCTCTGTCCTTTAGTTACTGCTGCACCAAAACAATGAATATAAGTAGAGAAACTTGTAATTGGACATATTGTGATGGCCAACCATATCATTTTGAGACTTTTGACATCACGATATTTCAGTTATTGTTACATTCCTACTTTCTACTTGAGTTAGTGTGATTTCTACTTGTCTATGTAGAGCATTGTTTTAGCATTTACCTGAGCGTAGCCTGAACTTAGCACAGGCTCCATAAATGTCACAGCATTGCAGTAGTCTCTAAAGCACACCGCCTCACCTGGCCTTTTGTGATCTCCTCGCGGCTGCCTCCTGCTCAGTATTCACAGCGTCAGAAGCTCCTCACCCCCGCTCCATTCAGCTCGGGCTACAGTCTCCCTCTGAGGACAGCAAGTCAGAAAAATTAAACTTCACTCACGGTGCCATTTAAAACAAGCTAAGTGTTTGAAGCTGTCAGGTGCAGATCCCCGTGTTAGCTGGGGACTGGTGCAGCGCAGGTGGAGCCGGAGAGCTAACAGGGAAAATATATCTAAGAGGATTTCACAATGGTTCACACTTTTGGAGCAATATTAAGCAACATGAAACCGAAAGGTGAAAAACATTGAAATACATACATTATGAATACTGGCGGAAACAAAGACCCAAAAGCAGATCTGTTTTTCAGTCTTTGAGATCTGTTTTCAAAAGATAAAAATAAGGTTGGACATTTATTTATTTATTTCTTGGAGAAAAAATGAATACATGCATTCTTCTTTTGATAAGAATTCCAATTTGATTTTTGTTATCCAAACCGGACTCATTTCCAAAACATCTAGCTGCACTGACTGATTGAAATCTTAACAATAGCCTCTTACACTAATAAGCCTAACTAATACTCATTTCAGAAGAGAACACAGGGTTACTATAGTTTTTAAAGCATTTTTTCCTTTAATAAGCCACACTATTTGCCATTTAAAGGTCCTATATTATACAAAATTGACTCTTGAGCTTTAAGCCATGTCAGATTGTGTTACCCCATCAACAACATATCTGGAGTTGTATTAGTCTGTCTACATCTCCAAGGCTCAATGTAGCTACCCTGGTTTTCTTCGCAAAAAAGGATTTCACGCTCCAAACTGATGGCCATGTGTGTCAATATTCATTCTCAGTAATCTTCAACTCCATCAACACATTGAAACACCATGAAAACTAAAATAAGGACAGAGAAAATATCTCAGCTTTACAGAAATACCTTTAAAATAAATGCAAAATTGAAAACAATATTTACCGTGTTCGCCTATACATCACCAGCGGTGGTTAAGTACAGTTTCTTTAATTTTGACGCATTATAAAGCGTGCCCAGCAGAGACTGTTATTTCTCTTCGAAAGCGTTCTGACATACTGCTGCACATCATGGTACGGAGCCTGCACAGCTGCTGAAAAGAAAGACCTGCAGCAAGTGGTGAGAACAGCTGAAAAGGTGGTTTGCTCCACACTCCCGAACCCGGCCACCATCTACTCTTCAGGTCACCACACATGGGCCTCCAATATTCTGTAGGACCCCACACACCCTGGGAACTGCCTCTTCTATACTCTCCCCTCAGGAAGGCTTCAAACTCCCCTCACACGCACAAACAGGCCGCACACAAGCTTCTACCCACGAGCAGTGGGTAGAAGCAGGGGCACAGGCAGAGATTAAAGGCCTGAAGGGACTCAGTGCAATAATCTATTTATTTTACTTATTAAATGTTTTTTTTATTGGTATGGATGTGAAGATGTGTCTATATTTGTTCATTTTTACTGCTACAGATTTGATCTGTTGAAGTTTCGTTGTATTTCATACAATGACAGTAAATAAATCTAATCAAATTTTTTTCTTTACACCCTTTTCTGTGTTTTTCTTCATCGTCCTTTTCTCTCTTTTGCAGCTACTATTTTTCTCACTCTTCACTTCCGGGGCAAGGTAAAAGGCATGGAGCTATTAAAATAACAAATAATTAAAGGTCACATATATTTTCACAAATAAAATATAAAACTAATAACTATAGTGTTCTGACACATCTTAATATTTGAACAAATAAAATAATAATTTTCTGACTTATTACCATGAAAACAAATATACTGACACTACACTCAAAATGCTCTGTTCCACCTTGTGATGCCATGAAATGTCAGTGTTCAAGCGTACGGTTACCTTTTACCTTTAGGTCTGTGAAGATCGGCAATTCCAGTTCTGAAATTATCCGATTCTAGACAATGTGGAGTTTAAAAACCACAGTGGGGCACTTCATGTATTACCACATGACATCACAAGGTGGAAGAGTTTTTTTTTTCCAACTCCAGGTATGTTTTTGATAAGGAATAATGATAAAATAAAATCAGAAAATAATGTAATATGGACACTTTAAATGTTGCATTGTGTACAGTGTCGTTACTGTTGTTACGTTGGACATTTACTCAGTCTGTAGGAGTATTTCCCCATGGCCCCATCATAAATATCAGCATTAAATATTGCCTTCATTTCTGTTAACTCAAATACAAACTCCTTTTACTTGACTAGCTCCTGCTGGCCTCTCCGCCTTCGCATCACCTAGTTATCTTAATACATTTCACATCTATCCTTTTTCTGTGGCTGGTCTTTGAAAGTTGCCTGGAGACAGAAGGATCTAGAGTCCCCACAGATCTGCTCTGCTTCTCCTCTCTCCTGGGACCCTCTCCTCCTGTGTGCACGCTCAAATCCGCTGCGGGCAACTTTAAATTAATACCTGGAGCCGAGCCTCCCCTGATAATTGTGTATCATCACCCCTGAATGTTACAAATGCAGGATGTTTAGTGCTTGTTTAATAGGGCTAAACTCTGCGGCAAAACGTGGGCTACAAATAATGAATGCTCTTGGAAAATGCTGCCTTTACAGTAAACAAACTATTCTTATACTATTTACATTTTAAAACAGCTCAGTGTTTTCTCCACTGAGATTTCTTTTGTTGCAAAAACACACAAAATGCAAAGTCTTAGATGTGCAAAAATAAGTGTGCTAGCTCCGATTGTTACAAAGGGTGTGCAGTGCAAACTCCCCTGATAACGATCAAATCATATTTTTGAAATCCAACAAAAATGTGCTCAAATTGGCAAGTATTGTTTAAGGCCCAAGGACAGCAAAACAAAACAAAAAGAAATATCAACTTATGAAGAAAGAAACTGGTTTCTTTACTTTTTATTTACAAATACACTGTTTTGCAGCTTTTCTACGTCTATACAATAAACTGTATTATTTATTATCATATTTTTGCGTGCTTCAAAAATCTGGAAACCATTGCCTCAACTCATAGGCCAACAGATACAACTGCATTAGAATTAGCCTACATTAATAACAGTATTCCACCTCTGGTATCGTCTTTTCTAATAACTGTAGTCTGTGGTAAATACAGTAAACACAAACAGGGAGGCACTGACACGATACTGGTAAAGAACAGCTGCACCGATATTGAACACTTTGGTGGATCGGATATCAGCTTCCAAGATATTGATTCTTATTATCCCATTGGTTTAATAAAATCTGCATAATGTTGCATTTTATTTTAAAGTTGTTCTGTAATTATTTCAAATGATAAAGAAAAGTTACAAAACACATTTGGTTTCCAATTTATCTTCGTCTCCATGAAACTGTTTAAGATTAGTCATCTAAAATATTATACAAATTACATTAATTTCTGTAGCACTTTTTGAATTTTTTTGCACTATATATATTTTTATACTATGTATCTTTTTATGTATTGGTTGTTGAACTTAAATACCTTGTAACTAAAATCTGTTCAGTCCATCATGCACCAGAGGACTGTGGGCACAATTTTTGTATATCCAAGTAGCACTCCTGTCTCCAAAGTTTTGCACATTTGGATCCTTTTGTTTATCTTCTGTTTTTTTGTTTATCTTCTGTTGTTTTTTTTTGTGTGTGTGTTTTCCCCTCCCTGTATCTGCCCTGGTATTGGAAAATACTTAAAACCAAAGTATAGACATTGGTACAGAAAAACCTGGATCAGTGCATCTCTATATATAACACAAATATACACTTTTTATAATATTGATTGCTAAATGCATTAGAATTCAGCCTGATTCATCAGCCGGTTTTACTTCATAGAAAACATCTGACCTCGCAGTGTTAGGATTTGTTCGCTCGATGGTAGGAGGGTACTTTTTAACATTTAATCAATCGCTGCTATTTGGAAGTCGCGTATGTAATGCGCCGCTAACAGGGCTAACTGGTATTTTAAGCTTTTCCCAAATCCCGTATGAAAACGGGCAACAATGTCTTTCCCCTTGATGAAATTCACCAAACATTCTCTTTGTTCCGGTTTTAAATCCTTGACCTCGAGAATCATTGACAACACTGAATATATGGCTCTTCGCTGATTGGCCTGTGCCCGAATTTGCACTTCTGGGTTTTTGCGAACCGTCTAGTGTATTCTGATTCCTGACCTAGTCGCTGGAGAGAAATGAAATTGAGCAGAGGCACTAGGTGGCGCCAACATGGCTAATTAGAATTAGCCTACATTAATAATAGTATTCTGCCTCTGGTATAGTCTTACAATGTATTACATTAAGTTAAAATCATATAACTATTTCATAAAATTATTATGTTTAACTGTGTGAGTATATCTGCGCTTTATTTGATGCTATTCCTACTTTAATGAAACCATATTACAATTTATTTTGTTATTTATTCTTACATTGTAATTTGAGAGCTACTGTATCCTACTAACTGTGGATTCAATAAAGTGTTAAAGTAGCCAAAACTGTTATAATTCTATTTCAAACAATACTGCTCTGGTATAAGCAAAAAGTAGTATGATATAAAGCTTTTAAAAACACAAAGTTTCAGCAATTAAATGCAGCACAAACACAAACAGAAAGAAAAAGTCTATAGTTAGATAAGTAGAACTCGTGTACAGTGCTCAAATCTCATGTGGCTTTTAGAGTAATGTCTTACCAGGAAAAGGTCCTCCTCACTCAGTTATAGCACAACTCCGTGGAGGATTTTGATACATGACTTCTATAAACTCCATGCATCTCCCATCACCGGAGCATGTGCGCGCTCTGCTGCAAAGGGACGCCACAATTAGCCGCATATTCATTTCTGATATAATTGCTGTCAAATTACCGCAGCCCACCGACAACAATAGCGATAAATGGCACACAGGAGCCTTGGCAATTAAACCAGCACCATTTAAAACACATTCAAACGGCGCATCTGGTCAAGCGGCGTGAAGACAATACTGGATTATTACGCAGCCAGACTAATTACGCAACAGTGTACGTGTCTTTTGCTTCACATACCGCGGGCTCCTGCAATCCCTCAAAGGCCAAAGGGACATACAGATATACAAGTACTACCTAGACGCCCACTGCTGCTATTCACAGAGCCGTGGCATTAAAAGAAACGAGCGGATAACAAAGAGCTCATTACGCGTGTCAAAATGTAAAGGACAAAGCCGAATCTTTTCTTACGCACGCGGTAAAGAGCCGATCTTGAGAAATTCACGCAGCAGGCCTATAAACTTGAACATGAACTGGCAAGTATTAGCTATTATATGTCCACAGTTTATACAGTTAACTGAATAACCACGTGATTAGCAAGATTAGCTTTGGCAAAGGACTGCGCCAACTCGTGTCACTTTTAACATAGCTGGGTCAAATATAGTGAACTTTTGAGAAAGACGGGGGAAAAAGTCCTGCTTTAAGTGGAGAAGAATTAAGGTCTATATTTATATTATATTTTGATAGATTTTTTAACACGAGCTGCTCACCTGTGCGCAGTCAGCACGTGATCTTGACTTCGTGGCTGGTTCTGTGCTTTTGCGCATGCTCACCGCCAGACAAACGTAAGCCTATTTGTTAATTTCATTATAAATCAAAATCTAATGTTTTTTTTTTTTTTTATCATACATTATATATCAACTATGAAGCAAGTTAAATATTGAGAAATGTTGATATTGGGAAAAAATTGAATAAAATTACATTCTTAAATTAAACTAGTGGGTTTCAGCGATATGTACCTAATATACACAAAGAATTGTTATAATATAGTGATTAAAACTGTGTAAAAGTGACAATGTAATCTGGTAGTATGAGATATTCTACAATCTTAAACCACTATAACATTCATACATTGAAATACACGTCTACGGCCTGTGCATATAGCCTGATTCATCAGCCGGTTTCACTTCTTTTCACTTCGTACAAACGTCTGACCTTGCAGTGTTACAATTTGTTTGGTCAATGGTAGGCGGGTACTTTTTATTATTTAATCAATCAATGCTATTTGGTAGTCACGTATGCAATGCACTGCTAATGGGCTAACTGGTATATTAAGCTTTTCCCAAATCCCCTCGGAAGAAGGTCAATAACATCTTTCCCCTTGATAAAATTCACCATACATTCTTTTTATTCCGGCTTAAACCCTCGATCTCGGGAATCGTTGACAACACAGAATGTATGACTCTTCACTGATTGGCTGGTGCCCGAACTTGCACTTCCAGGGTTTTTGCAAATCATCTAGTGTATTCTGATTCCTGATCTAGTCACTGGAGAGAAATGAAATTGAGTGGAGGCACTAGGTGGCGCCAGTCTGGCTACTGTGCAGGTGCTTATACTGCTAAATTGTTTAGGCATATTATATTTCTGAGACCTCTTCAAAAACATACCTGGAGTTGTTTTTTGTTTCATTCACACATGTCTGAGTAACACTGACTGTCTACATTAGGCTGTCTACATCTCCAAAGCTCAAAATGCTCTGTTCCACCTTGTGATGTCATGAAGCCATTTTCAAGTTTTCAAGTTAACAACTACCTTTTACCTTTAGTTCAGTAAAGACTAGCAGGCCCAGAGCTGAGAAATAACAATAGTGAAGTTGTAAAGAGTGTATCAAATTGTGTTTAAAATTTGCATGCTAAACATGTGTGAATGAAACATGTTTTTGATGAGGAAACAACAATGTAACATAGATCCAAAAAAGTGTCATATGGGTCCTTTAACTTGGCAATGAAAGAAAATCCACAGTGTTATAACATTGGGTAGTTTTATTGAAATTGTAAATGTGTTAGGTGTCATTATGCGTGACCTTAGTTTTTCTACACTCACAAAACCATAAAAGTTTGAACATTATAATAATGATTTGCTGCTTCAACATTACATTCAAAGCTGTAAATTGTTATAGCTACATTTTGTTAAAAACACAATATTTACATTAATTGCAATACACATTTTTATATTTGGCATACTTACATGAATCTCATATAATTTACAGGTTGTCAAGTACTGATTAATGTGAACATTGAATCTCCAAAAATTCACAAGAAATTAAAAAGTAGAATACCCATACAAAAATGAAAGATACAAACAGAATGAGCTAGTTTTGCCCTTCAAAAAGTTGCACAGAATTGAACATCCATGAAAACATTGTTAAAATGTTCTGTACTTTACAAAACAGCATGACATCTGCTTGCCACAGCCTTTGACGTTAACTGTGGCGAAATGGGGCAACTCCTGACACTGTAGTCCACCCACGTCCAGCGCTTTTAATTAAAACACAATTAAATCTTTACTATACAAATATATTTGACAATGATTAGTTTGAAAATCTTCCATCGTGCGACTGGCTGATAAAACAAAAAAAGTCCTCGCTAAGTATGTGCTGACAACTTCATCGTAACTCCATCCTAAATAACTTTGTGTTTACTACTACACATTTTGTAACAACAGTATTGTTCTTAATACAAGTACACTGCAAAAAGTAATACCTAAATAAAATCCAGTGACTCAAATTAAGAAGATTTAACTTGATTTGAGATTTTACTTGACAAGTAAAATTATCTACCAATGGAAAAAGTTTTTTTTTGTTTTGTTTTGTATTGTTTTTCTTAATTCAAACAACATAAAGGTGCACTATGTAACGTCTAAGGTGGAGGATCTGCCACTTGCTCGTCTCCATGGAGATGTTAAGTCTTTGCGATAGATGTTCCACAGTAGGGCATTAAACATACTAGAATTTGCCTTGCATTTGTTCAGTTACAGGTGTTTTGTAACTCAAAAATATCTTGAAAAACATACATTTTTACCATGCGCGGGCTTGCTTCTCCATAGATCTGACCATCAACCTGTCTCCATTGTGATTATAAAGTTTATTTCCATAGTGTGGAATAATCAAGGTGAAACATGGGGAGAAGAAGGTGGCAAAGCATCCACTAGAAAAGTTACACAGTGCAGCTTTATGTACAAAGAGATGTTTTTCTTCAGTGTAACTAGATGTATTTTCCTACAAAAGATGGAACAACTCCAAAAAGACTTGCTCCACTGGTAGATTCTTTTACTCAAATCAATATAACTTCTTAATTCAAGTTTAACATTGCAAGATTTTAGTTTTTTGTAGTGCAGCAGTTTGACTATTTGTGCTTTCTACTAGTAAATTTTCTAGACTTGATCAGTGGCTCATGTTTATAACTGTTACTTTGATACAATAACTGGCACAGAAATGAGTTATAGATTTTAGGTCTCAAATTAAAATGTTGAATATCTCTTTACAGCGCATTGTACATGATCCTTTGGCACAGTACTTGGTAACTCTACCCCTAAAATGTGTTTTGTCACGTACATCATGCAGAGAGGGTAGGGGGGGCTTCCACACACTGATCACAATAGTAATGGTAAAATGGCATGCACGTGCAGCCTTTGTTACCGGCCTGGGCATGTTGTGATGGTAATTATAGGAAAATACTCGATTATTTAAAAAGAGATAGGGCAGTGTTGGTAAGGCAGCAATTAGCTTGAAACACTGGCTTTGGTTACACGCACACTCAAAATCACATTGTTATCAGAGTTTTGTTATAAGACGATTAGGATGAAACGTTAACGGCAAAATTACTTGATTTCTTTCTATTCATGGTCCCTCTGATAACTCATTAAGGTTGTCAAAGGTATCGAATATCAGACACTAATCAATGCTAAACTAGTATCAAAACTAGACACTAATTTGAAGAAGTATTGATACTAAAAAAGTTATGTCATAATTCCAGCTTGTCAAGCCTGATCCCATCAGATCTCAGAAGCTAAGTACTGGTTGGATGGGAGACCGCAGGGAATTCCAGGTGCCACAGTGGGGCGCTAGTCGCAAAAAAAAAAAAAGTTGTTTGGTAAATGGTCACATTTTTATACCACGCTTTTCCACCTTCAAGGCTCTCAAACACACATGGGTGAGGTGGGTTAAGTGTCTTGCCCAAGGACACAACAACAGCATTCATCTGTGGGAGGTGGGATCACACCAGCCAACCTGTGGGTCAGGGGATCTGACCGCTCAACCCGTGATGTTTATGTTGAGAGCTGAACCGCCAACCTTCGGATCATTGGGCGAATGCTCTACCAACTGAGCTACTGCTGTATTGTTGTGTCCTTAGGCAAGGCACTTCACCCACATTGCCTAGTATGAAAGTGGCGTGTGCGTGAGTGATGATGGTGGAGGTTGTTCTGTTCTGTTCTGTAAAGCGTCTTTGTGACATATTTCTGTGAAAAGCGCTTTATAAATAAAATAAAAACGTATGTAAAAAAGTCACTTTTACAGGACAAAAAATGAACCTTTCCTGAAAAGCTTTAAAACAGGATTTCCAACCTGTAACTCAGGGTCTACCTCTAGCTCTCCACCCCCTTCCATATAGCTCGCCAAAAGATTTCTGAATTATATGTATTGTGCTTATTAACGCAAATCTGATTAATTACCATAGTAAATGTATTATTTTCATGCCTAACGTGTACACTAATAAATAGATAATGGTTCATGTTTAATAGGCATCTAACTGTACTGTCTAAAGCTTGCCACAGCTCTTCTACTTTCTCAACTTCTTGCGACCGCTAAAATGAATAGCTCTCTGGCATTTTCACTTCATAAAGGTAGCTCACCAGAGGAAAAAGGTTGGAGACCCCTGCTTTAGAGTGATCTTGAGATGTATCAGAACAAATAAAAGAGCACATAGACTCGTATACGCCCACGGACCACTATGGAACCAACCTGGACGACTGAGGGATTACGCAGATAGAAAGTACTATTATTTAAAGTTGAAAATCACATCTCTTGTCAAAATAAAGCATGTTTTTTTATTATTATCGTGAACAGAATCATTATTGAGTATTGAGTCTATCCCTTAGTATCGAAATCGAGCATGACAACACTATTACGCACATCAGTCGCTGTGGCTCTGAAGTCATTTAAATAATCTTAAAAGTCCAGAAATCAGATAATAATGCTTTTGGTGTGCATGTAACCATAGCTACTAACAATTCTACATGTGAACCTGAACAATACCCTTTAAGCCTAGTGCTGACAACATTTAAAATTGTTTCCAAGATCTTATATAATTCTCTTTTCTTTGGGTTATTTTCGACCATTACTCGTGCGGATATGAACACAGAAGCACACCCCTTATCTACTACACTTTACTGAAATGCATACTCGAGGCCTCTAGCACCTTTTTTTGCCATACAATATACAATGTACAGTTATCATTAAAAAAAGAAACATAACGTGCATTACTCACTGATAAAAGACTCTGTTTGCAATACTTAAGGCAAAACAATTTCCATATATACCAATATACATATAGATTATTACAACTTTGTTCCTCAAAATTGTTCTGAGTAAATGTATTGAAATCACTGTAAAATGACATACTACAGCTAAAAGTGCAGAGTCAATGCCCCCTACAAAAATGTTGATTATTAGAAGTTTTGAGTCTAGATCAGCCACCTGTCCGTTATTGAAGTGTAGGAATGCCAAATTAAAAAGAGTGCCGGGTAAAAAAAGTGCAAATAATCCCAGTGTATTCCCATGCCCATCTGGAGGTAACCTGAACCAGCACCTATAGCTGTGACACTTTCCTGGGCAGAGGTCTTGGTCGTGGCACGCGAGGATCAGAGGCGTCCAGCTTCATACTCCCGGTGCGGAGCTGGTGCGGTTTGGGGGGCAGCGCTGGGGGGTCTGTCTGAGGCGGGATGGAGAGACTGTGAGGCAGCGGCACAGGTCTGCGCGGGTTGTCCCTCACGAAGACGCTGTAAGGGGGCGGGGTCTTGTTCTCTCGCCGTATGGGTTCGTCGGAGCTGCTGGAGATGGAGGTGGGGAGGGTGGTGGGCGGGGCCAGCGGGTGCGGCGGGGGGTGAATGTCGGACGTGGGGAGCTCGGTGCCGGACGCCTCAGAGACGCTGCAGCGGCTCAGGGAGGAGATGCCACTGCTGTAGCTTCCGGACAGGACCGGGGAGCTGGAGACGAGGCTGGAGGACTGGCACTCGGTGGGAGAGGGCGTGAACGGGGGCACTGTGCTCTGGAGGGAGACAGAGAGAGAAACAGGATTATTTTATGTTCTGAATAGGAGTTAAAGGGACAGTCTGGAATGTTGGACACAGGACCTCATTTCCTAGTTAGTCAGAGTGTTGGAGACGTATGGAGACACTTTTTTAGATATTCCATCCAGTCCTTGTATTTGCAGAGGTTGCTGTTGCTAGGCTAGTGCATGTCAATGGCCATAGTTAGCCTACCACTAAAAACAGTCTTACCTACTCCACAAAACACCCGAAGCAAATCTATTATTACACCAGACTGTTGATGTAAATGTCTGTGTTGATAGAATAGTGTTTTGAAATAATGTCGCATGTTGAGGGACTATTTTCTCAGCAGCAGCGGAATTTTACTTTGCCGGTAAGAGGTGCTAGGCGATATCAGTCCGCCGCTGCCAAGCTTTCTATCAGGAAGTACAACTCACAGCTGCTGCTCAGACATAAATCCTTCAAATGCAAGGTTGCTTTTACTTCTAAAATTATTCTATCAACACAGACATTTACATCGACAGTCTGGTGTTATAATTGTTTTGACCTCCAGACAAAAAAGTGTCTCCAACACTCTGGTTAACTAGGAAATGAGTTCCTATTTCCAAAATTCTGCACTTTCCCTTTAAAGGTCTTATATTAGGCAAAACTGTCTCTTGTGAGCTTTAAGCCGTGTTATAATGTTGTTATCTCCACATACAACATACCTGGAGTTGTGTTTTGTTTCATTCACACAGGTTTGAGTAACACTTTTTTATTAGTCTGTCTATATCTCCAAATCTCAAAATGCTCTGTTCCTGTAGAGGTAGTATTCAAGTTCAACAGGAACCTTTCACCTTTAATTCAGTAGAGATTGGCAATTCCAAGGCTGAAATAATCCAAATGATTCTAGTGAAGGTGTATGAAGTTTAAAAACACAGTGGAGCACTTCCTGTATATCCTCCTGGTATGGTTGCGATGAAGAAACAACAGTATAACAGCTCAAATAATGGTGTAATGCGGGTCGTTTAAAGGCACTGTACCCAATTCATTTCCATATATTTCACCAGAACGTATTGTTCCAGTACAGATATATTGTATAAACAGCTCTCGAGGTCAAAATATGTCTGCTGCGTGCTGTCTGCATCTAATTAGAAAGCATATGAATGTTATGATGTGCACATTAGTATGCTAAGTGTTGCTAGCTTTGGCGTCACAACAAAACTCTCTGGTCTAAGAGTCGTGAAAAGCCCTTGTAAACTCATCACAGTGACTAATTAGCATGCTCGCAAGGCCCAAGGTAAGTGAAGAAGAATAACTTTGAGCCACTGCAAACCATTTCAAATGAACTAGTTCTGTTTTCCACATTTTTAAGACAGTAAAAATCAGCTACAGTGGCTTTGAGAAATATTTTTGTTTCAGAGCAATACAGTGTCCAAGTAATTTCCCTTGTGCATCCATGGAGTTTGTCTAAATCTAAGCAAGTCTACGAAGCCCCCATTAGGATTTTATCTGTAAAAACTGTAAGAAAAATGTTATTCATTATATTAGTGCATTTTATTTGATAGTGTCTTCTAAGAGACTCAAGGTCACCTCAGTCACTTTTCTTATTGTTCTCCTTCATAGTACACAGCAAATAAATGTTAGAGGTAAATTGACTTCTTGTTTGCTTATAAGTGCATGTGTAACTTTTCTGGTGATGGGTCCGTCAAATGGTTTTCTTTGTGGAGACGTTATTGGTTTGTTTGGAATGTTTCACAGTATGGTATTAAACTTTCTATCTTCATGGAGACCAAACCGGACTAAGTTACAGGTCAGATCTGTGGAGAGGCGCCCCTGCTCACAGTCAGAATATCTGTTTTTGAGCAGTAAAACCTAGCCTGATTCAGCCGGTTTCACTTTGTGGAAACCGTCTGACCTTGCAGCATTAGGATTCCTTCGCTCGACGGTAAGCAGGTACTTTTTATCATTTACCCAATCGCTGCAATTTGGTCATGACGTATGTAATGCGCCACTAACGTGGATAACTGGAATATTAAGCTTTTCAAAAATCCCGTTGGAAGAAGGGCAATAATGTCTTTCCCCTTGATAAAATTCACCAAACATTCTCTTTGTTCCGGCTTTAAATCCTCTATCTAGGGAATTGTTGCTAAAACAGAATGTCTGGCTTCGTCTACATCCATCTCAACCGCTTTGCTTACTGTTGTGCTGTACCACAAAAAGTGGCCCAGTTATGGCTTCACAGCCCTTCACTCATTGGCCGGTGCACGGTCTACAACTTCCGGAGTTCTTGCAAACCGTCTAGTGTATTCCGATTCCTGACTTAGTCGCGGGAGAGAAATTAAATTGAGCGGAGGCACCAGCCTGGCTAAGTAAAACCAGCTCTAAGTGAATAAATGTAAGGTAGAGCTGTTTAATGTCACAGTGTGGAACATTCCAGGCAGAGCTATGACATCCATAGAAAAAAAAAAGGTGATGGACCTCCAACCAAAAAGTTGCATAATGCATCTTCAAAAATACTTTTATTTGCAGTATCTTGTTCTTGTTTATAAAATGTGCAATTTATAGTGAATTGGTTTGAAAACTGGTGAACTTTATGATTCTTCAAAACCAAAGAAAATCAAATCCCCATGTGACATCTTAAAACAATTCTGTGTCCAATTTAAACCAGGTAAGAATAACTAGGCTACCTCAAAGTAAACAAGGAATACATCTAACTCTAAGTAAATCAGTACTTGAACTACAAAACTTTTCGAAGCACCATCGGCGGTACTCGTGCACACCTGAGGGCAGATTGCCTTGCCTGGTTTTGTGAAAGCCCAATACCAAAGACGCCGAGGCACCAGAGACAGAGGAGGGACTCTGAACAGATTGGGAAAGCCAGGTTTTTCCACCCCATCAGCTGGCCCTGTGCACCGAGATGAAAACGCACAATATGCCACACTTCCCTGTTCAAAATGCGAATACTCATCAAACAGTTTTTCTAAGCAATTACCACCCGGTGCCATTATTTAAGCTAAATTTTAATTGGATCTACTGAAGTATACAATTGACCGGTGAGGCTGAATTAGTCATGCTACAGCCAACTTTATTTAAGAGAAAAGTTTTGCTTTTATGTGGAAGTTTAGACAATTATTCTTAATATACACTTTGGATTTGACTTTTTAGCTGCAATTATCCAAGTGCGTAGTGATTTGCATTTTTATCTGGCATTGATTTTTACACCAGATGCCATTCCTGACACACCTCCATGTTTTACTCAGTATTACATATTGTCTGTCAATGATTATGGACAGCACATTTTTCAATTTCCCATACTGTTTATTCAATAGTTAACTCTTATGTGGAATTAGGCACTATATATTCCCTTCACATCTTTACACAAGGTTTCTCAAACTGTGGTCTGTGTACATGAGGTGATCTACACCATTGTTCCCCAAACACTGGGTCCCAACCCTCAGGTGGGTCGCAAGAGATTTTTTTTGGGTTGCCTTGTCACGATCTGTTATCCTGATTCATCAGCCGGTTTCACTTCGTGGAAACCGCCTGACCCCACAGCATTAGGATTCCTTCGCTCGACGGTAAGAGGGTACTTTTTATCATTTACCCAATCGCTGCAATTTGGTCATGACGTATGTAATGCGCCACTAACGGGGCTAACTGGAATATTAAGCTTTTCCCAAATCCCGTAGGTAGAAGGTCAATAACAACATTCCCCTTGATCAAATTCACCAAATATTCTCTTTGTTCCGGCTTTAAATCCTCGATCTCTGCATTCATTGCCAACACAGAATGTATGGCTCTTCGCTGATTAGCTGGTGCCTGAACTCGCACTTTCGGAGTTCTTGCAAACCGTCTAGTGTATTCTGATTCCTGACCTAGTCGCTGGAGAGAAATTAAATTGAGCAGAGGCACTAGGTGATGCCAGCCTGGCTAACGGTCTGCATGTAACTCTGCAATATACAGTTCTGACACATGTTGAAATGTTAAAGAAATATTTTTTATAATTTCTAATCTTTTTTGTAATTATTTTATTGACTACTTGCTGGTTCAATTGAATGTTGAAAAGAAAAAGAAATGGGCTACATTTAATGTCCAAATATGAGACTTATGGATCCATTTTATTGCTGGTTCAGTTACTGTGTTTCATTGTTTAAAACTTGAGTAATACTAATTGTTCAGAGAGACACGATCACTCAGTTAACAATAAAATATCCTCATTAATGTTCAATAATGGTCAAATCCACCTTTATTTTGTGATTTACAAATAATGTCAGTTGACTTGGGCCGCAAAGGTTTGTGACTTTTAAAATATGGGTTCCCAGAAATAAAGTTTGGAAAACATCTACACTGTTCTGTTTTTCCAGTTCTTGGTTCTTGGTTCTTGGAATCGGCTCTGTGTAAACTCACTGTTAACATCACTGCTTTCGGTCCAATTTTATCTCTTTGGAGGTTTTTGCAGAGTGGTGCTAAAATGAATAAATATGTAAAAAAGTACACAAATAAAATTAATATTTGAGTGGAGGACACTTGTGGATTTAGAAAGAGAGATGTTTGTGTCTCAATGTTAACGCTAATGTTGAGGTATAATAAATATTACAACAAGCCCTAGTTTAGACCTTCTATAGTCCTTTTCTAGACCTGGTTTAGATCTGATGGTACTCAAGAGGCTAAATATTTTCTTAGGTGGAACTTTGTGTAAAAAGTTTAAGTGCCACTGATTAAGCATTTGCATATGTGTAAGAGTTTGAGAGTACAAGTTTTAACTTTTACTGGACTAATAGTATTTTCCAGCGCCAGAACTCCTAATTAAGAGCATGTTTTCTACTTCCAATCCTGACTTCCTCTGGCCATTGGCTGATTTTGTGGTTGATAAGTGGGGCAGCTGCAGGTCCAAAGTTGGCCTCCCCCGACTGTGCCGTGATGGGCAGCTGGGAACCTCACTCCAGGCTTCCTCCATTACCACAAAACACACAAATACACATCTTCTCCAAACACACACACACACAAAATCACACACATAAATCTGATTGACAGAGCCTGCTGTGCACCAAGCTGTCATTCACACTTCCAGATCCTCTCTCTTTCTTTCCATCTTTCTTTCTCTCTGTTCATCCCTTCATCTTAGTATCTCTCCATTCACACGTGGCACAAGCTGAGACCACACACAAACAAGCTGTCGTCCAGGTACACATCTTTATAAGTCTGTGCAGTTTGAGCTGAGCCATGTAAGCTTGTGCAGTGATAGCAGTTGTTCCATTGTTGTGAATAATACAACTGCTTTAATGCGTTTGATTTAGCTTTGTGGTTAGTCAGTGATGGGAAGAATACTTTGAAAATGTATTTCATTTCATAATACTGAATACCTGCAGCGAAATGTAAGCTGTACCTCAAACTCAGCCATGCCCAGCTATTCAACGAAGGACTTTAAATCTAACCAGAGAGCCTTGAATCTTCTGCTATTTTGTCCGTGGATAGTGCTGATTTATTTTTAATACACATTTTCTCTTCAAACAACTGTAATAAGCTACTGCAATAAGCTGTTCTTTTCAATTCCTGTACCTAGGGCCTCTGCTCAATTTCATTTCTCTCCAGCGATTAGGTCAGGAATTGTAATATACTAGACGGTTTGCAAGAACCCGGAAGTTGAAGACCACGCACCGGCCAATCAGCAAAGAGCTGTGAAGCCCTGACGTCAAACTCAAGCATCTATCTGGGTCCCTTTTGTGGTACAGCACAACAGTAAACAAAGCGGTGGAGGTGGATGTAGACGAAGCCATACATTCTGTGTTGGCAACGATTCCCGAGATCGAGGATTTAAAGCCAGAACAAAGAGAATGTTTGGTGAATTTTATCAAGGGGAAAGATGTTATTACCCTTCTTTCTACGGGATTTGGTGCATTACATACGTCACAACCAAACAGCAGCGATTGGTTAAGTAAAAAAACTACCCGCCTACTGAGCGAACGAATCCTAATGCTGCAAGGTCAGACGATTTCCAAGAAGTGAAACCGGCTGATGAATCAGGCTAATATACGATACCTTGATTCAAAAAAATATCAAAACTAGTTATTTGAATAAGTATTAACTTTTTTGGAATATTTTGTAGCAGTTTTAGAAAGGTTTTGGATCTATATCAGGAATAGACCATACCAAAATATGAAAGAAACTACTATTTTGTTTTTGTGTGTAATTATCTTCTACATTGTGACAACATTAATTTCTATAGTGTATACTATTATATATGAATTGTAATATAGTGTATTCTAATATGTCTCAGTAGAAGTTTTCCAAGTAGACAAGGTGACATATCTGCTACTATTTTGTTTTTTGTGTGCTTACCATCTAAATAAACATGAATTTCTACATGCAATAACATTTTTGTACTGCTATATACTGTATGAGTATTTAGTAGGATAAAGACAGCCTTTGTAATGTATTCTGTTGTAACATATCTCAGTAGACAGTTCCCAAGTAGACAAGGTGACATATCGTCCCAGTGGCATGTGCACATTAAGTAAAACAGTGGATTTGCCCCGGGGCGGTCCCACTGTGGGCTCTGTTCTCGGGACAGTCAGGGCATAAAATGACCAAATCAGCAGCAGCGGAGCAGTTAGCAGCTTGACTGAACAGTAATGCAGCGCTCTCCAGCCTTCTCCTTCTGCAGTGGGCACAGAGCAGGATAAGGACCCCGGAGCCAACTGCTAACACATTATTAGCCACTCAGGATAAAGACCCAAGGCTGTCACTAAGCAAGGTCAGCCTGTCTCAGCAAGAACGATAACTTAAAAGGAGCCCAAACGGAATAAATGGTGGCAAGTACACTCTCGAACTGCTTTAAACAAGTTCACTCAAAATAATAGACAAGACTGGAGCCGAGTTAAATATATAAGTTAGAGAAGGATAAGTAGAGAAACATAAGGAAGTAAAAGTAGTAAAGTATTGTACATAAGTATACATTTTAGGTATCTGTATTTTACATATAGTGGATATTTTTGACTTTTACTTCACTACATTTGAGAGCAGGTATCTGTACTTTCTACTTCACTACATTTTTGAACAAGACTGACAAGTTAAAGTATTTTTCATGATTACAATTTTATCATTTTTCTAGTTCGAGCAAACAAAAATATACAAGGAAATACAGGAAGAAAAAAAACAACAACTATTGATTCTTTTTTTTTTCTGTTGACCAAAATTGATCAAAAGTCTTTATTAAAATCACTATAGTTTAAGCTTTATTAGATCTCAAAATCTCTCCAAAATAACTTTACTTTTTAGTCTTTAAGTACATTTGTAAAAGCACTTTGGTAAAATACTTTTAAATACCTTTACTCTTTACTCTACTCAGTAACTAAACAGAGCTCTTCCACCACTGAGAAGGATAGATATTAACCACCAAGCAGTATAATCAAGAGCTAGTATGGTATGGAAATGAATACATCTAATTAAATGCACCAATTAGCATGACATTTGCATTTATGTTAAAGATATATTATAGCGATTACTGAATTCATATCTTCCATTAATTAGTAACTATGTGACTTATCATAATAGACTTTCAATGCTTAGATTTAATCTGATAATGAATACAAACCCTACTCAATTAGGTCTACTAAAGAGAACTGTCCATCAGCTTTGAGTATTTATTAAAATCATTTAAATACATATAAAAAATACATATATTAAAAATCTGTACATGATTTTTTCCAAATGCACTAGAGCAAAATTTGGCTTGACCCCATACCGATATATTGTATAATCAGCTCTTGGGGTCAAAACAAGGCTGTCTGCATCTAATTAGAAAGCATTGCCCAATAATCAGGAAGTGTGTGTTAGCATGCTATGTTGTTGTTTGCTTTACCGTCATGTTAAAACTCTGCACTGGTCTCTGAGAGTTGAGAAAAGTGCAAATAAACTCACCACTTTGAATAATTAGGATGCTCTGAATGCATAAGGTAAGTGAGGAATAACTTATCACCTAAAATGAACTAGTTCTGTTTTTCATGTAGTTTAGATAGACAGATAGATAGATAGATAGATAGATAGATGATAGGTGATAAAACAGCACTTTTATCTCCAAGGCAACAGTGTAAGAAACTAACCTTTTGTGGGGATCTTGAGTTGGGAGCCGGGGACTGCGACCTTGTGTTTTTCGCCGAAACTGTTGACATAAAAGTGACAGTTCAAATTAGTACATGCCATAGTGGGCTTACATAAAGACGATACTGTGTAAGTCAAGCAAACATCAACACATGGAGCTGGAAGGGGAGACGTTTAAAGCAGAAGAAAGTCTGTGCGGAAAACACAATTCATCTGTCCATAGCTCCCTTATAAAGCAGCAAGTCAAAAAGCATACGATTTTGACCCAAGACAGCTAAGAAGAAAAGTATAAATAATGTCTTCATTGTTGCACCTGTTAGTGAGAGAGTTGCATCAAACAGCAGGTATTAAAAATCTAAAACTATCAAAATTGTATGATTGTTAGAAGCAAAAAAGAACAAATGCAATGATTGGTAAGACTGGGACCTGATGGTGAGAATAAAACTTCTGAGTCATAAATTATGAGTTATTTTGAAGATAAAGATGTTGGAATATTGAGTATACTTTCACTAATGAGAAAACTTTTGTCTTACTTTCACAGTCCATACTTGAAACTCAAACTAACTACAAACATGTGTGTCTGAGCACCTGTTCTTAAGCTAAGGCAGCTTCAGGAGTGTTTGTTTTTTATTAAATTCCCATAAAAGCAAATTGTATAAACTGCATTCAAATAATTTATGAATAGATACAGAATTAAATAACAAATTTAGTTAAATTTTTTTGTCAGTATTGCCCTTCATACTCAAGTGGCAATTCAACAGAAAGTTCACTGTACATTAAAACCCAGAACAAGTTGCTTTAAGATGAAAAACATGCACAAGAGTAGACAGTAGGGGGCACCATTTTGGAAAGGCGTCAATAATATTACTAATGATTAGGGGTGTAACGATATCCAAGTCTCACAATACGAAATCATCACGGTATGAACATCGAGGTACGATATTTATTGCGATATCATGGGAAAGCTCACGATAAGGTGGGGAGACTCACGATTAGGGATGTAACAATATCCAAATATCTTGGTACGATATTTTCACAATATAAATCTCACTGTACGATATTTATTGTGATATTTTGTGGAAGCTACACAGCAAAAACTGGAGGGTTAAAATGTTGGGGTAAAATATTTCAGAGTTGTTTTTAACACCAAAAGTGTTATTTTAACTATCTGAAAGTTAAATGGGGGTTTGAGTTGGGGTTATTTGCCAGAGTTGATTTGATTGAGGTTAATTCAACTTCCTCTAGTGTTAATTCATCTTCCCTTAGTGTTAATTAAATTCAACTTCTCTTTGTGTTAATTTGGCTCCTCCCATTAACCACTTCAAACTCTTGTGAGAGAAGACCAGTTTGAACCAGTTTTGTACATAATTTCATCTTAAATTAACTAAAATAAAGTAAAAATAAAATAAAACACCCCTGTGTGTTGTTTAGCTAAATCAGAATAACTCTACAAAGTGTTATCTGTTTACTCTCAAAACATTAATATAACTCTGGATTTCGGGGTTAAACAGGAACTTTAGTCCATTGTTACTTAATTCACATTTCCAAAAATGTTAAATTAACTCTAGAACAGATTGGACTCATATAAACTGTGAGAAAATGTTAAAGGTGATTCTGTGAGAGTCAATTTTAACACTCCACTTTTTGCTCCTCTTAAAAAATAACTAAGAACTAAGACGTAAAAGCTTAGAACTGTTATTTCTTCATGTAGCCTACACTAAAATGGAGCAAAGGATCATGGTCTATGTAGTTCCCTCCGTCTTTTTTAGCTATTGCTGCACCATAACTTAATTTAAGCAAAGAGACTTGCAATTTGATATATTGTGATGATCCACGAGAGATTGTGAGAACTCTGACGATACGATATCAGGATATTTCGGTTATTGTTACGTCCCTACTACTGCTCAGTCCAAATTAGAAGGAACCTGAACCATACCATTTGCTGAACTAGTGAGTTTATTTTACAACACCATTGCACTGAGAGTTAAGTGCAGATTTGCAAATAAAACAGAATTTGAATTAGGATTGACCAGTAAGGCTTAAAAGTCTAGGGAGACTTTAGGGGCCACATCTCTCTAGCTATGTGGAGATATCCCTTTTTAAATAAATCCTTGGCGTTTTGCACATCAAGCACAAACCAGCATTGAAAGATAAAAAGAGAAAATGCTTTAGTGTTAGATAACAAGTCTGCAGGAGTCAAAAGCCAGAGTGGAAAATTAGTATAATCTTCTTCAAGACTTTGATGGGCCATTTTACCTGTGTACGGTGGCCTAGGAGGGACAGGAGGGCAAACCTGTCTGCCCATAGTCTCTGAGAAATACGGACTTCCCTCTTTGACACTGTCTAGGCTCCAGCTACTGGGGGTGGGCCTCACTTATGGTAAACAAAACATCAACACGTTACAACATACACAAAACATAAACAATACAATGAAAACAATGGTGTATGGGAATGGTATGGAAGTGAAATTGCATAGTACAAGAAATAAACAAAACAACAAAACAACAACAACAACAGGATAATGACAACAACTGTGTTGCTATGGGTAACTGAGTAATAACACATTAATTTCCATAAACAGACAATTGGTGTTTTATTCTGTGCTATTACAGGCATATAATTCGATGTTAGGTCATTAAGAAATAAATTATCAGCTTAATATTTCTGACAATTTTGTAATATTTGATCTAGAGACATTTTTAAAGGGCACATATTATGCTATTTTCTGATCTATGTCATCATGTTTTCTCATCACAAACCTACCTGGACTTGTGTTTTGTTTCATTCACACATGTTTAACACAAAGCTTGCATATTTAGGCTGAATTCTTCTCTACAACACTTGTGAAAACACCTTGTCATGTCATTCAGAAAGTGCTCCACTGTGTTTTTAAACCCCATATACCTTTAGACTATTAGAATCATTTAGGTAATTTGTGAATGTATGAAAAAGAAAACTAAGTTGTGCATAATAGTGAAGATTTCTGTTTGAAATAACTATAGGTGTTGATGTTTTGTCTGAAAAGGGGAAAAGGGGGCGCAGATAACATAAGTTTACTCTTCTGTCTGCTCCTTTTCATTTATTTCTTGTAGGTTTGATGTCGTGACACTGTTGATGTCTTTTTATGCTTTATGAATGAAATAAATAAACCAATAAAATCAAAAATCAAAAAAACAATTTCAGCCTAGGAATGTCCAATCTCTACTAAACAAAAGGTAAAAGGTAGCTGTTCAAAACTACCACTTCATGACATCACAAGGTGGAACAGAGCATTTTTACCTTAGGGGATGTAGACAGACTAATAATAAAGTGTTATTTCAACATGTGTGAATGAAACAAAACACAATTCCAGATATGTTTTCGATGAAGTAACAGCATTATGACTTCATGGCTCACAAGGATCCATTTTGAGGAATATGGACATTTTAACAAATCCAGGAATATTAAAATACATTAAATAAACAACATTCAAGAATAATATGGATTCCTAAAGCATGTTTGTAAAGGACTAAAGTATAGGGCTGGCAGGCTTTAAACATAATAAGATCTCTTGGGATTTGTATTGCTGGCAAAGAACATAATATAACCTAAATAACTGCAGCGCTTGTGATTCCTAATTGCGAACATTCAAACGGCAATTTCCATTTGATTGCGCCCTAACACCTGGCTTCGTTTTCACTGCCATGGCTATACCAGGCTCAGGCTTTTACTGTATTTCACTTTAAACTTGGCTCTTTGTCACTACATGTACATTAAAGGTGCACAGTGTAACTTTTTCTGCTGGAGATTCTGCCACTTGCTTGACAATTTTTCCGCTTTGCCGAGCATGTTACATGGTGAATGTATCTATCTCCATGGAAACGAGTGGCACCAGGTTAACTTACAGATAAAGTAAAGGCATTTTCTCAAGGTATTTTTGATCAATGAAAACTCTTGTAATTAAATACATCCACCACAAATATGTTTAATGCCACTACGGAACATTTCAGGTAAAACAATAACCCCTCCATGGAGACCAGCATATGGGAAACGCCTCACCAGAAAAGTTACACCTTTAATACATTTTTTTAAGGGCATGGTGCATTATGTGGAAAGCCCGTCAAATGCTTTTCCCATAGAGATGTTATTGATTTGTCTGGAATGTTCCACAGTATGGTTTTAAACCTTTCTATCGTCATGGAGGCCAAACCAGACCAAGTTACAGGTCAGATCTATGGAGAGACGATAAAACCACCTGTAAATATAATTAATGTAAAGTGGAGCTGTTTAATGTCATACTGTTAAATATTCCAGGCAGAGCAACAGATGTGGGGACTTGCAAGTCGTGACTTGGACTTGAGTCAAACTTGAGTCACTATTTTTAGGGCTTGAGACTAGACTTGATAAAATGGACTAAGACTTGGGACTTGACCTGGACTTGACACTCATTGACTTGGGACTTGACACGGATTTTAGGCCTGTGAGTTGAGAAGACTTGATGCTTCTCCTACAAAATACTTATGTTTTTTTGATACATGTGGTGCTTAATTTTACAGAAACAAACTGGAACATGTCCTTTGATCTGGTATCCTCAAATGTACTACAGTAATATACAGTACAATACAGAGGGAACTACATAGAACAAATAACTGTTATTAAGCACTTTTAAATCTGAATTCTTTCTATTCTGACCAAAATAATTCACACTAAGACCTTGACAAGACATTTAAAAAGGAAAAATTAACATTTCTACAACTCTTATATAAATACTCACATATAAATATATATTGGTTTAAAGACTTCAAAGGACTTGAAGCTCAAAGCAGACGATTTGGACTTCACTTGGACTTAAGGACCAGTGACTCAAGACTCGACTTGGACTTTGCTGTATTTAACTTGGGACTTGACTCAGACTTGAGGTCAAATACTTGAGACTTACTTGGGACTTGCACAACAATGACTTGGTCCCACGTCTGCAGAGTAATGACATATTCATAGAAAAACAAGCAAGTGACAGACCCCAGACAAAAAGTTACACAGTGCACCTTTAAAAATGAATTTCATTATTTGCCAGAAGACTTGCGGGTGGACTGTCCTTTCACAGTAGAAGGAGAGCAGTTTCTAAAAATATCTGTGTCCATGTATCTAAGCCCGAGGCAAGGACAAAGGACTATTTCTTTGAGTAACTTTAGTGCTGGCGACACATAAAAGCACTTCTATTGTGATTATAATAATAGAACACCCATCTGTTACACGAGCTTAACTAACAGTTTTTTATATATATATTTAGACTTCACAATTTCCACTTCAAGGGAGATAATGTGACAAAATAACACTTCCAAGCTGTCTCACTTGTGATAATTCTATCACCTTCAACCATTGTTACATTAATTTCATGCATGAAGCCGCCATATTGTCTTTGCTAATTTCTGTCACTGCATCTTTTACCGATGGCACTTTAATAACACATGGATACAGCAGGTGTTTTAGTGAGAATCATGCGGAAACTGTCACTTCCACAAGCAACACTTTTATTTCGAGGTGACTGTTTTTTTAAATATTTATTTATCTAAAAGGTGCACTGTGTAGTTTTGTTTTGTTTTTCTGTGCAGCTCGCATTGGTTTGCTTGAAATGTTCCTCATTATGGCATTAAATATAGCTTGCATTGTTACTTCCATAAGCAACACTTTCATTTCTAGGTTTATAATCTTTATTTATTTAATAGGTGCACTGTGGAGTTTTTCTTACAATCTCATGTACTCCATATAGCTGGTATATATTTGTATTACTATATTTCTATTTTTAAATTTTTACTTGTACATATACATCTTTATAATTTTATATAATTATGCCTTATTTAACACCAGTCTCTTGTTATTTTGCTACTTATTTTACATTTTTTATTACCATTTATATTTTAGCTCTTTGTTATTATAATATATTATTATATGCGAGCTACTGTGTCCAAGTAATTTATCTTTTGGATCAATAAAGTCAATAAGTCTAGGTCATTGATTTGTCTGAAATGTTCCTCCATATGGCATTAAACATAGCTTACATTTATTTCATTACTATTGCTTAAGGATGCCTCGTGAAACATGTATTTTTACAGTAAGTCTCTCCACCAGCCAGGCCGGTGCCACCTAGTTCCTCCGCTCAATTTCATTTCTCTCCAGCGACTATGTCAGGAACCTGAATACACTAAACGGTTTGCAAGAACCCTGGAAGTTGTAGACCGCGGACCGACCAATCACCGAAGCGCTGTGAAGCCATGACGTCAAACTCAAGGGTCCCTTTTGTAATACAGCACAACAGTAAACAAAGTGGTCGAGATGGATAGACGAAGCCATACATTCTGTGTTGGCGACGATTCCCGAGATCGAGGATTTAAAGCCGGAACAAAGAGAATGTTTGGTGAATTTTATCGAGGGGAAAGATGTTATTGCCCTTCTTCCTACGGGATTTGGCACATTACATACGTCACGACCAAATAACAGTGATTGGTTAAATTAAAAAGTACCCGCCTACCGAATGAATCCTAATGCTGCGAGGTCAGACGGTTTCCACGAAGTGAAACCGGCTGATGAATCAGGCTACCTCTCTACAGATCTGACCTGTAACTTGGCCTGGTGGCGTCAGCTTCGTTTTTCCATGGAGATAGAACGTTAATGAAATGCTGTGGAACATTCCAGGCAAAGCAATAACATCTTTGTTAGGATGCTTCACCAGGAAAGTGGCATAGCGCATCTTTAACTGTGCTTAATACCTGGGATAAGAAAAGTATTAACTACCTTGATGTATATGAGTAAATAGGTACTAAAATGTAATCAAATGCATTGGGTATATATGTAAGAATACCAGCAGACAAGTCTCCCAATGGTTTATTCAGTGCTTTCTTATAAATATATGTATAGTATATATGTATGCTCTTTACGTACTGTGCACAGCCATCCATACTTTATAAATGCCACTCATGTCAGTCAGTATTGTGCAATTAATGAATGCCCTTTTATTACAGATGGCAGTAGAAATGAAAAGAATGAAAAGAATCTGAAGTACATATGTTAAACTTGTATCTGTAGATGGAAATGGTATAAGAAATGCAAAGGACACAGGTCACCAGGCATAATTTGAGACTCTTGTTTAAGCTGCATTGCTATGGGTAACTGTAAAGTAGGAACATTTTGAAGATGATATTTTACGCTATTGTTTGATTTGTGTTAAAAAGTTGTTTCTTCATCACAAACATACTTGGAGCTGTGTTTTGTTTCATTCACACGATTAACACACAGGCCATTCTATCAAACAGAAAACACTCTGTTCCACCTTGTGATGTTATGTGCTAATGCAGGAAGTGCTGCAATGTCTTTTTAAACCCCATCATTTGGATCATTTCTGCAACTGCCGATTTCTGCTAAACAAAAGGTAAAATGCAGTTGTTAACTTAAAAACTACTACTTCATAACATCACAAGGTGGAACACGGTATTTTAAGCTTTGGATGTAGTCAGACTAATAATAAAAGCTTACTTAATGAAATAAATGAAACAAAAAAACAACTCCAGGTTTTTTTTTGTTTTTTTTTTGATGCAGTGACAAAATTTTAACATGGCTTAAAGCTAATTTTTACGTAATATTGGACCTTTAAGCGGTGATTCAGTTTTTCTGTCTATAATAGATATATTGTAAATGCCAGCTAGATCATTCAGTGCACGATGTCATCATTTTGAACATTTATTTCAGATAACATGAGTTGAGTGTCTCAAAATTCTCACCTTCAACTACACTTTTAGCTCTGACCTTCTACGAAAAAACATGTCTAGTTGAACATCAGAGTAAAGTTATCATGAGTGTGGCTGGAGACTGTGTAGCCCTGAGGCACCAGTGTTTAGACACATGCTGGTGCTGTGTGGATGTGTAACTGTCACATAGTCTTCATGTTCGGAGTGAGGACCACAGCACAGACAGGGACCATCCGCATGTAACTGCCGTTATACTCGACGTTGGACATGGACACTAGCCACATGCTGGGAGATTATCATAATGACTACATAGCACTTTTGCCCAGTTGAATTTCATGCATGGTCCTCCTAACATCCTCACTGTACTGTACCATTAGACTTTTTTTTTTTTTTTGCTAGATTCTATTTCTGTTAGGGCTGAATGATTTTAAGAAAAAAATTAATTGGGATTTTTCTGGCAGATATTGAGATTTCATCCACGACTTTTTTCAAACCAAGTTTCAGTGCACATGAACATTTGCAAATGTGTCCTGCACCAATGATCTGATGCTGGACCGTGAAGCCCAGTTTGCAGTCCAGTGTCCAGAGTCTATGTCAACGTGAACCCCCTACGCAGACCGTCTGCGTCAACTGACGTGCACCTCCGAAATTTTCTAACTAAGCGTCAAAAAGATGCAGACAGCAGAGGGAAGCGACGCAGACATTAAGGGCTGTGATTGGTCCTCTCTACCACCACTCTACATATATTTCCTGTACTCCATTCCCTGTACTCAAGTAATAATGCATTTGACAAAGCTTTGCGCACATTTGTTTATGTTTTACAGAAACAAAACTTAAAACCACATGGTTAATTTCCATAAACTATAAGCGCTGAAAAAAACTGCTCACTTCTGTGTCAGCTTCTGTCAAACTAAAGGACATGACTCAATGGAATATGTGTGTTCTTTCTGGGACAGAGGATGTGCTGATGATAGTGAGTCTGTTCTGTGCTTTTATTGTGTTGGAGATGGTTCATGTTAAACTTTACACTAATGCCAGGTTTAAATCCTTGCCTCCTTGCATTGTGGCAGTGAATTACTTTGAGGTGCATAGACCTCGACGCAGATCTGTAAATCCATAAATTGGGCTTTAGGAGCACTGCAAAAAACGCGGCTTTGACACTCCCAAAATCGTGTTGTCTGAGACTGCGACTTTCAGTCCAAAACAATAGATCGTTCAGCCTTAATTTCTGTCCAAAATGACTTTATACCTTAAAAATGCACTATGGAACTTTTGTAATGGGGGCATGTGGGTCCTAAACATGTCTATATACATGTCTTTATAGGGACATCACCTGCTTGTCTCTGTACAGATAGATGTTTAATGCCATACTGAAGAACATTTACTAATTAGCAGGTAGTGGACCCTTCACTGGAAAATGTATGTTGTGCACCTTTAAAGCCAGAAGTGTAAAGATCATAATAAATACTTACAACATTACAACTACTATTATTGTGGCAAGGTAAGTACCAACTTGGCTAGTAAAGTTTGAATAGCTATCAATGGTCACCGCAATTTCATGAGGGGAATTATTGCATTTGTTTAATTAGGCTTTTAATTGCAGGGGATTGTAAGACACAGTCAAATATGTCATTGTTTATATTTAATTGTGTTGTAATTGTCTGCTGTTTAATACTTGTGGTCATTGAACGGCTGTAACTATTACCCTTTATACCTCATTTCACCTGATGCCCTTCCGTTACACTGTGCACCTCTGAACTATTGTGCTATTGTCCTTTTATATTGTGACTTATGGTCGCAAACTGAATGGTCCTTAGGGGTAAATAAAGTTTTCTGAACTGGAAAATAATAGCCACAGTAGTCAACAAGTTTATGTCAAGTCTGTACTCTCCACTGAAAATATATTATTACAAGTACTACATAAGTACTATATGTAAAATATAGTGGGTGTTTTACCTTTGTCTGGTGCTGAGAGGTTGGGGTCACTTCTTGGTAAAGTGTTGTCTCCTATTTGATGAGGAGGTGCTCTCTGTAAACACAAGATTACAAATCATCAAATTAGACTTAGGCACTTAACAAATGAAAGAAATAAGTACTACACATTTGATTAGTTTTAATAAAGCAAGACCACATAGTAAAATACCTTAATTAAGTAGTTACCAAGCCTGAATCTTACAAATCTTAAACTAATTAATTAAAAAGAAAGTTTTTGTTCATGCTAATTAAGGTGTAGTTATTAAAAAGTGAACTTCAATGAACTGCTATTTTTAAATCATTATTTTATATTTTGCCCTTTTGCTTACAGTGGTCCGTTATATTTGTTTCATGCAAATATTCGGCATCTGATTTTCAGATTTAAGCCGTATCACGTTTCAATTTTTCTACTTATTTACTCGATTATCCTCTACAAACATCTGGCAATGTTCTCATGGGGAAAAAAAATCAAATATCTAAAAGACATAGCTGTGAAGTATAGGAGATGGGCAGTGTTTTCTTTTTTCTCTTTCTGAAATAGGGGCTTTGTCACTGAAGATGGAGAGTGTGATAGAACTAGTGCCCTTCAGCAAGAGGAGCAACAACAATATCAAGGTATTGTGGTGGGGCCATACAATGTGGAGTACACTCATTTCTGTACAGGAGACACAAGTGATACTCGCTACTATAGGAAAAATACTAACATTTTTTTAATTTCTAGTTACAGTATTTTCTGGACTATTGAGCACACCTGAGTATACGCCGCATCAACAAAATTTTTACAAAATTTTAAAACTGTACACGTATATGTCGCAACTGAATAGAAGCCGCAGGTGTCCACGTCTTCAAAAACGCTTTCAAGTTCGGGCCGTCTGCTTTTATCGTCTATGAAAGCTTTTGTCGTCTTTTTGCATTGAGTCAGTTCGTCACGCTGCCGTCGCCAAAATCTCACCATCAACTCACTGATCCCGAGCTCACATGCAGCAGTTCTGTTTCCTTCTTCGACAGCCACATTGCCATTAACTTAAAAGCTGCATCATCTGCATTTCTTCGTGTGTTTTCCATGAGGACGGTGTGTGTATGAACCACAAAATAACTGTTCAAACACAATCAAACAAGCATCTTCCTCAGTGCGTCACCCCCGTCTCTCCCCGCTCTCTACTGCGCATGTCTCCTGCAGAAAAGAGCCCCTGTCCTGTCCTGTATCATGTCAGTGTCTTGGGGGATTTCAGCAAATTTCAGTCTCTCTCGGGAGTGGGTATAGTTCTGTCAATCAAGTATGAGTTTATGTCCGGCTACTGAAGTTTGAGACGTTTCTTCTCGTCATTTACACACACGAGTAAGACGTATCCCCCTCACTAATGTTCATTTAGCATCATAACTTATTTTATCACATGGCGATAAACTATTTGAGTGCACTGACAATATCGCTAGCTAGTGCTGCAACTTCATGTTAACACTAGATCCATGTGTAACCGCACAGACAGTGGCGTTTTCTGCACTCAGGCTGCGTGTATCTGCTGTGTTACCAAACCATAAACTGTATATATGAATGGACAATGTGCCAAACAAAGAATCCATCTATATATTAGCTGCATCGTTGTATAAGACGCAGGGTTCAAAGTGTGAGAAAAAAGTAGCGGCTTATAGTCTGGAATTTACGGTATACAAAAACATAGTGATATTTTGCAGTGACATCATGATAGGGGTGTTGTAGGTGTTCCGCCATTAGAGACAGATGTAGCAGTTTCCATGGCAACACAATGCACACATTAACAAACACTGAAGGAAAAATCTACGACTGTCTAAAAACTCTAAAGCAGGTAAATAGACTTAAACTACTAACGCTCAGGAGGCTGTGAGCAATACAATCGCTCATGGTTCTGTTTAGGTGTTTGATTTTCAACAAAGAGTCGAGAAAGACTTGCTGAAAAAACTGTTGCTTATGCTAGCTTTTGTTTGTAGTTTGTAGTTCAAACTATGTCAGCTCTTCAGATTGTGTTAAAATAAAGATTTGAGTAACAGAGCTTCAGACAGTGTAGTGCTTTCTGTTTGCTTCACATCCTAAGGGAATATTGGGGACATCGGCTGCAAAGTATCGAAAGACTACGAAAAAAAAACCACTATCAGTAAACATTTGTAATTTCTAGTAATACAGAAATATATTGTGAAGAAAGCTATAAATACAATATAGATTTTCACACAAATAAATGTTATACCTGTACTGAAATTAATCAAAATAATCACCCTGTAACTGGCTAGCTCATGTTGTAATTTCTTCAGGGATTTGCACCTGCAGAAGTGGAAATAATGTAAGTGCCATAAGCTTTGTGTAAAAATGGAACCTGGCCGTGCAATTTGTCAATAACAGCACTACACACTGGGTGCAATTAAATGGGGCTATAATTACAGCCAATGACAACAAGTCTTTGCACTATTGACTTTGTGTCCAGAAACTACTCAGGGAGCAGTCGAAACTCTGGGTGACCCTACAGTTACAGAACGAGCCAACGGACACAGAGGGGGATAAGTGTGCTACTAGATGTACATGTTATTCAGTTCAGTGTTTAAGGGTTAGATTAGACCAGGTTCTCGTTAAAATCTCGTATAATTCTGAGCACAGTTTAGTCCTGGTATATACTCTACTTAGTTTGGACACGATACTAAAGTGGTATACCAAGACTGTGATGAACGCCGCTATAAAAACTGATTGTAACTACAAGTACAACAGTGCAACCAAGATAAAAAAGGTTGCAAAAGAAGCGCTTCCTCGACCTCCAGAGATTTAATACACAGTAGATCCAACTCAGTGGTGCTCTTTGGGAAGGGAAGTCAGTAAAAAGATGCAAAAAACCCAAGGCACTCACTGGTTAAAATAAAATGCATTTATTAATTTACGGCATGTCTTAATGGATGGCTTTCCTCAGGGGACAAACAGGAACCAGTGCAACCAAGACACTTACACACTTTGTAACTATTATTAGATTATTATTGTAATTATTCTCATGAATGGTGGGGATATTATTATGATTATGATTATTATGCCTTTAAAATTATGATTTAAGATTGTAATAAATACTAAAAGGTGATGAAAGGAAATGATGATGGTGAAAGTAACATATAATAATAAATATAGAAAAAATTAATAAAAAAAAATATAATAATAGAAAAAAATATTAGAGACTAAAGATGTTTGTTAAAAAATGAAAAAAAAAAAAAAGAAAGAAAGAAAATGAATTCAAATTATAAATTGGTCAAAATACCAATATAAGGGGGCCTAGCAGTGTGGTTATGCTACACTACCACATTACTTTTGGTTTATTTAATTACATTTTTGTCGGTGTGTGTGTGTTTGGGGTGTGTTTGTAGATGTTGCTCTATGTTTTTCTGTTTTGTTTTTATGTTGATTATTGTATTTTGTTAAATGATATATTCTGTTGTCTTGAAAAATGTATAACTTTTATTTATAATCTATAACTTTATAACTTAACTTTATACTTATACTATAATCTGACTATATGAGGGTAAAATTAAGGACACCCCCCTTAAATTCACAAATGACCAACCTTTTTTATCTCTACTGGTCACTGACAATGAATCACTACTCATATGTGCGCATTAGTGTGATACCACATAATATTATAATTAAAATTTAAAAAAAGGCTCCATACAATCCATACAAATACCTATTTCAATGCCATAATGATAATAATTGACCATGGATTCAGGTGGGTGTACGTTGGTTACACGTGAAACATGATTATAATTGTCCATGTAAAGCACTTTCATCTTCATGACAAGGAAAGTACTATATAAATAAAAAGTATTATTATAATTACTATTCAGGAAAGGTCCAATTTTGTCCTATTTATGCCCATTTATGTCATTTTTCTCCCAGTATATGTACTTGTTAAAATGTCTAGTTTAAATAATAGCTTTACAATTTATAATCATCTTTGTATTGATTTTGTTTGCCAGCCCAACCGTGTGTATCCTGTGTGTTTTGAGTGCCTGTGCCCACCTGAGCAGGGTCCAGCGGGTTGGGGAAGATGGCGCTGACCGGCCTTTCCCGTGGAGACAGACAGGCGTTTTCTCTGGAATGCTTGTGTTTCTCAGCCATTTGAGGAGAACCTGAAATCACATATAAAAGATGTAGTACCACCCACGTACACAATAAGCTCCTGCAAACACACAAGGGACCAAACTGCACCAAGGTGTTAAGACCATTACCCACAAATACAGGCAATCAGGAAAGGCCAATCTCTCCTTGTGGCCGCTAGCCTCTCTCCGCGCTTTCAGCCTCACTAGGTCCACAACATGATAAATGGCCTGCACCCTCCCATACACTTGTACACACGCCTGCCTTATCCGCTACCTCCACTATTCTTGTATGCTGGGTATTTTCAACAAAGAAAGACAGGGAAAGAGGCATACGCTAAGCTAACAAATGAATAATAATACTTGCTGTCATGATAGTGTGTGTTATAATTGACTATTTAGTGAAGAGTGAGATAGGACGGCCCAAAAGAGCAGTGGTTTTGTAAAGACATACAGTGTGTTGTTGTCCACACAGAGCTGTAAACAGTGTAATTTTTCTGGTAGAGGGTCTCCATGGAGTTAGTGCTTTTCCTGGAATGTTCCACACTATGGCATTAAATGTATATACAGCAGAGGTGGGACCAAGTCATTGATTTGCAAGTCTCAAGTAAGTCTCAAATCTTTGACCTCAAGCCCGAGTCAAGTTGCAAGTCAAATACAGGCAAGTCCAAGTCGAGTCTCGAGTCACTGGCCCATAAGTCCAAGTCAAGTCCAGGTCATCTTTTCAGTCTTTAAACCAAAGTACCAAATGCAGCTTTGGTTTTTGCAATTTATATGAATTTTAAACTAAATAGTACTTTAAAAAAGTCATGGTATATTTATATATGAGTATTTATAGTGTATACAAGAGTTCTAGAAAATAATTCAGTTAATTTTTAAATGCTTGACAAGATCTTAGTGTGAATCATTATGGTCAGAACAGAAAAAAATCAGATTTAAATGTGCTTCTCAAGTCACAGGCCTCAAGTCCGAGTCAAGTCCCAAGTCACTGACCTTCAAGTCTAAGTCGAGTCTTAGTCCATTTTATCAAGTCAAGTCTCAAGTCCTAAAAATAGTGACTCAAGTCTGACTCGAATCCAACTCATGACTTGCAAGTCCCCACCTCTAATATATAGGAATGTAATGATATCCAAATGTCACGGTACAATATTATCACGATATACATCTCACGGTACAATATTTAATGGGATATTTTGGAGTGGCTGATATAATTGTAGATACGACGCTTTTTTGCTTTTAAAATACCTTTACAAGGTTTTGGTGTGAATTATTACTGTCCTAATCCCAAAAATTCAAGTAAAAAACATAGAACTTAATGTTGGCTGTACTGAAATGAATAATGGAATATGTAGTTCCCATTGTTTATTAGCTATTTCTACTATAAAAATGCATTTAAGCAAAGGAACTTGAAGGAATTTGATATTTTGCCCCACGGTATTATTGTGAGGCTTTTGACAATATCATATCACGATATTTCGGTTATTGTTACATCCCTACGTACGTATATATCTTGCAGTTGTTCGGTTATAAGTGTTTTTATTGATCAAAAATGCATTGGAAAACATGTTTTTCTACAGTCTAGTCACCTCTTCGCAGATCTGATTTGTAATTTGGCCTGGTGGTGCCACTGACTTGCCACGGATAAGCAAGTCTGAAATCATACTATTTGTAATAAAATCTGCATAAAGCCAAGCAGGCGGCATTTCCTCCTCCAGAAATGTTACAAAGTGAAACTTTAAGCCTTGAGTACATTGCTGTTAAAGGTTGATGGAGGAACCAAAAAAGTAACCTATAAAGAAAGATCCCACCTACTCAAATTAAAATAAAAAAACGCAAAAAAGCCAAAAGCAAGTGACGTATCCTCCACTAGAAAAGTTGTGTATTGCACCTTTAAAATTAAAATACATTTTGCAGTTTTAATTTAAAATGTTAAAGTAATAAGCAGTATTGCAAATGTACTACAACATTGTCCTCAAATCCTCTCTTCTGATTACTCGCAAACTTCGACAAAACTCTCACTTGAGTAATTAACAGGTGCCACAATGAAGCACAGATCCGTACAGTTCATTTAATCTGTCAGCGCTCCTCCTGTCTCTGTGTAATAAAAATAGACACTCGGTTAGAATAAATCTGATTATATTTTTTTCTTTGCGCTTTGTTGAAGTCTTCACCCATTAGTGACTGAGGAGGTACTTGGACCATCATTCAACTCTAAGATACACATCAGTGGCACTTATTAAGATAAGACCAGAGCCGCAATAGCTCTTCTCTATGGGTGACTTCTACTGCGATGCCACCCGCTATGAAGTGTATGCCCAAGGAAAGGCTATGCATTTCCATAAATGTCTCAATATATTCCATGATAAGAGACAGAAACATGTTTGCAGATAAGACCAGGTGTATTGGACATTTACACTGTAGAGAATGAAAGCGGCTGAGTCAAGACGGTGGATCATATTAATAATTTTATATACAGCCATATTTGTCCCTGGAGTAATTTTTAAAAAATGCACTGTGTAACTTTTCTGCTTTAGGGTTCACCACCTTCTTGTATTGATAGAGATGTCTTTGATGTGCCCTGAATGTTCCACTGTATAGCATTTAACTTATACACTAGTGTTGTATTTTTTGGACTATAAGTCGCACTGGACTATAAATTGCACTTTTTGGGGGAAATTTATTTTATAAAATCAGAGAGACATTTCATCTTAAGAGGAAAGTTATAGTAAAAACAATAGAAGAGAGAACAACAAGCTGTTAACATCACATGTGAACAGTTATTCAGACAACAGAACAGAACAAGTTTACCAAACTCTCCATCTCACTCCAAATCACTAAATCCATAAAGGAGCACTGCTTCTTCTCCTGCGTAGCTGTTGTCAGACTCAGCATCAGTTCCAGTTAGAATTATTCTGGCCTTTCTGAATCCCAACAGGTTGGTTTCAGTTGTCACTCAAGTCACTTCAGTTTTCAGTGGTACAGAAGTAACGGTGTGATCGAGACTGACATGATACCAGACAGGATAACGGGTCTTTCTACTGAGACATGCGCAGTAGAGCAAAGTGACAGTGGTACAGGAGTATTAGCTTAGAGCCTAGAGCGCCCTCTCGAGGCTGACAGTGTGAACTTCTTAATATATAAGTCGCACCAGAGGATAATTCGCAGGAAACACCCAAACCATGAAAAAAGTGCAATTTATAGTCTGAAAAATACAGTAGTAATATATCTCCATGGACTTAAGGAGATGACGCTACCAAGCTATGTTACAGGTCAACGGAGTGGAGAGAGGACCCACTCCACTAACTTTAGATGTAAATTTGTACACCTACTTGAATAAATGAAGATTAGATGCGTTTAATGTCATAGTATGGAACATCCCAGGCAGAGCAATTTCATCTCCAGGGAGACAAGGCCTCACTAGAAAAGTTGCATAGTGCACATTTAAGTAATTTATTTATTTTTTCCTCTGGTTGTCTCTAAATGTTATTTGATTTGTCAGGGTTATATTCTTTCTAATTTAGTGATTACATTTTGAAGATTTTGAATCCCGATTTTGTTCTAATGTTGGGATTCTGTTCAAAGTTCACATTTTAAACACAATCAGGAGAGTACACTGAAATATAAATTACTAAATTAATACTGGAATCCAATTAATTTCTGAACATGTTTGTAGAGATTCAGTGTTAGCCTTTTTTTACATGATAAAACAGGATCATTTGGAAAGGAAATGGTGTTAGCTGAAGAAAGTCTTTCTTTTTTGATAACTGTGATTATTAAAAGTGCAGTGTTATTAGATTGTGATATACACTACAGCCCGAGGTTGTTTTAGTATAGAAAGCTCAAGGGTTAGTCAATAACAGAGTTTATTAAAAGGATCATCATCATAGGTGATTTCCCTGGATATTTCTTGCAATGTAAATACCATATAATCTACAGGGAAATATTGCCCTTCTATTAAGAGTATAGCCTCATCACTCCACAATTTGAAATGCACTCATATTTATAGTTACGTAGAGCTGCAAACCGTAATCCTGTTTTAAACCTGGTTAATGAGCCCTGGTTAGTGGGACGCTTAGTTAAATTATCCTTGGTTAAAAGATGCAGTTTGTAATTTTTCAGATGGAGTGTCGCTTCTTGTCATTATAGAGATGTTATTGCTTTTCCTAGAATATTTCAGAGCGCGGCATTACAGGAAAGATGGACTAGCGTGGGCAGAGATGCGTTTTAGTTTTAGTTCTTCCTTGAGTGATACAGAAAAGAGGGAGCCACTGTGGGAATGTTCATGTATGTTTAGAGATGTGACTATATCCAAATCTCCCGGTACAATATTATCACGATATGCATCTCACAGTACGATATTTATTGCGATATTTTGGAGATGCTAATCGAGTTGTAGATGGGACACTTTTTTTTGCATTTAAAATACCTTGACAAGATTTTGGTGTGAATTATTATTTTCATAATCCCAATAATTCAAGTAAAACATATATTTCTTCATGTTGTCTGCACTGAAATGAATCATGGGATTTGTAGTTCCCGATGTTTATAAGCTATTGCTACTATAAAACCATGCATTTAGGCAAAGGAACTTGTAATTCGATATATTGTGACTGCCCATGATATTACTGTGAGACTTTTGATGATACAATATCACGATATTTCGGTTACTGTCACATCCCAGTGTATCTAAGCATTAAACTTACATATCTACAGACAAAAATAGGTGGCACAACCAGGCCAAGTTACAGGTAAGATCTATGGAGATGTGACCCTGCTCAAAGTAAGAATTTTTGAGGCATTTTAAGGAATAAATAAATCTCTAATTTAAGAAATGCAAGAGATTCCAGGCAAAATAATAACAACTCCATATGGCAGACCACTAACCAGAAAACTTACACAATGTATCTTTAATTATCCCTGTTTAGTCACGGCTTAAAGGTGCACTAAGTAACTTCTAAGGAGATGTTATTTCTTTGCCTAGAATCTTCCACAACTCTCTTGCTTTTGTTCAATTACAGGTGTTTTATGGCTCAAAAATACCTGAGGAAAAACATGAATTCTCACCATGTAAAGGCTTGCTTCTCCATAGATCTGACCAATAAACAATCTCCATTGTGATGACCAAGTTTATTTCCATACGCTGGAATAATCAAGGCAAAACACTAACATCTCCATGGAAAGGTGGTGGACCCTTAATCGGAAAGGTTACACAGTGCACCTTTAATAATGTTCAGTAAACATAAAAATGTGTCCTACAGACCAGACGTTTTGCCAATCAATACCCAAATGTACGTGCGGCCAGTGTGGTGTATGCATATCACCGTCTCCCATTATCGCATTTGGTATTCTCCATAACATTACTTGTTTGTTTTGCTACACCTCCTCTGCCCTCTCTGCCCTGCGTGCCCCTCGCTGTCATCTGCCCTCACTGACCTCCACAGACAACAAACAGTCGGTGTAGTGCCAATCAAAAGATCAAAGGTCACGTCTCTTAACTGAGAGCATCCACACTAATTTACCTCAGCTCATCTTTGCCTGGCCACTCTGGTTTTAAATGGCCCCTAAACAGGACACAAGCGTTGTAAAATAAATAGTTCATTATTCCCACCTCTGGCACTAGACGGAGCCGAGCTGGTCACGTTCGGAGAGGCAGAGTGGTTGGAGCTGAGACTTGAGGTAGATGGACTTGGCTGTAAAGAAAAGAACAAAAAATAAATAAAACAATTTTCATTTCATTCAAAGAAAACCTGCACTGCAAAAACACCATCTTAACTTAATTTGAGTACATTTTCACTTAAGAATTGGCAAATCATGTTTTAAGTAGGGCTATGCAAAAAAAAAAAAAAAAAAAATCTTAATAGTCGCATGAGTTCCTGTGATTAATCATGATTAATTGCATGTTATACACAAAACCAATTAATGAATTCAAAAGTAGCGTATAGCCCACTTTTATTGGAAATGTAAACAAAAGTGCCATACATCTGGTGTTCAAACAGCATTTCTTCATACAAGGAGCAGGGCACTAGTCTGTAAAGTCCATATTTATACTTCTTCCTTTGGAGAATCTTACTCAAAAAAGAACCAGTTTCAGTGCAGTTTGTCATTTCATAGAATTTGACTTAATGAACTGAATTCAGTAAAGTGCATGTGATCAGCAGAGGTAAAATAAAGTATTCACTGTAAATCTCAACTGAAAAAAATCAAATCAACCCAAATACAAAAACTGAAATATATTGCCACTACCAGGGCTTTAATGTTATCCTGTTTGATATAAAAATGAGAATCTCAGTCAAAAACAGTCACCAGAAAACAGTACATGATGAAGAGCGATCAACTGCTCGGTAGTGCCCCTGAAAGCACTTGGTTCCCCACGAGCTGTGTGTAAAATGTGCGTGTGTGTTAAGGGGAGAAAAATAATTGTTGGAGATAATGAATTAATTAGTTAGTGCAAAATTAACACATTAACGTGCCCACTTGTACTTTTAAGTCAAAATATACTAAAATTAAGACAAATACTACTTCTTTATATACTTCTATATTAGGCTATTTTCTCATGTACTGCTGTTTCTCTATGCTGTTACTTCCTCAGAAACATATCTGGAGTTGTTTTGTTTCATTCACACATGTTTGATTAACCCTTTATTATTAGTCTGTCTGCATCTCCAAAGCTCAGAAGTTATCCTTTAGCTACATTTTATCTTTCGTTTACTATCAATACCAGGTCTGAAATCAACCAAATGATTCCAGTGAAGGTGTATGAAGTTTAAAAACACAGTGGAGCACTTCCTGTATCATCCCATGACATCACAAGGTGGAGAGAAGAACTCATATAGGCCCTTTCAGATTGTGAGTTTATCCGGTGTCAAAATATGTGCATAGTAAATGGTTCTATTTTTCCACTATTCACAACAGGGCTCCAATTAAAAACCTACAAATGTGTTCTCTAAGGGGAAACGTGCCAAAGGAGCTGCTTTTTTTTCTGATGTTGTTCTTTCCTTTATAATGAATGCGTGCTGGCAGGTGCAACAAGCAGACTTCATGCCAGGGGTTTTCAAAATTATCCAAAAATAGCCAAAAGTACTGGCTGAATATGGTGAGGTACAAAGCAGCAGAGTACAAGTGCGGCTCTTTGATTTGGTAAAGTAAGGTTGAGTCCATTGGTACAGACTTCAAAAAGAGGTCACGAAATGTTCAGATGATGAGAAAGACCTGTGGTGGTAGAAGTTCTTAAAAGCGTACTATTCAAAACCACAGTTGCTTTAAAAAACAATTACGGAGTTGGTATAAAAATGTATCCATTCTCGCCGTTTGATTTCATAACTAGCACGGCAGAGATGTGTACCTATAGGCAAGAAACTGCACCCGCCTTGCCAACGTGTGAATGTGTGCTAGTGTTTGATTGCTGCGCATATTAAAACTAAACGTAAAATGAAGATATGCTCAAAAAATTCACAAGTAACACTGATTAAATAGCGATAATATTTACCGTACTATCCCAGGTGCTCGAATTTACATTTTTTTTCAATGATTTGCTGAATTTTTGTACATTTTCTTGGTGACTGAGACTTAATCTCTTGCCAAAAATATTGTAAGCAGCAATTCGCCTGGTTATTTTAAAGTAGATCTATTACGCAAAATCATTTTCAGAGTTTTTATCCATGTTAGTTTTTCCCCCCTCACCATTTACTCCCATGAAGTCGTATTTGAAGTGATTCGTGCAATCACTTATTTTCAAGATGCCATTTTGCCACCAGCGTGCTCCCACTGCTCTGTACTTACCTCATTCTCCCAGTTTCCTTTTCTTAATTGCTGATACGCATATGATTTGGCAGCATCGTGTTGTAATTTAGGTATAAAACAAAAAAAATAAAAAATCTGCTACCTGCTAGTGTGAGCTGCTATCGAAAGAAGGGGCCGACAACTCCATAAATCTTTGTTGTGATGACGTTTACAGCGATGTGAGCTCCATTGGGTAAATTTCCTTCTAATTTCTTTCAGTAAGTTGTTTTAGATGAATATTATGATTTAAAATGTAGAAATTATAACATAATGATCCACGGGTGTCATAGGATATAACTATAAAGCAAACACATGCGTAATATATTTCACATTATTCTCTACTTTTCTTTTTTTTTCATCTGCACCTAAATTTCTACACGATGCTGCCAGATCCTATGCATATCACCAATTAAGAAAAGGAAATTGGGAGAATGAAGTAAGTACAGAAGAGTGGGCGTATGCCGTGGCAAAGAAACATGAGTTGATGTGCAAAATGAAATGATTAAAGATTACTCAAACATGCACAAATCACTCCAAATACAACTCCGAGGGAGTAAGTGGTGAAGGGAAACAACTATAACATGGATAAAAGCTCTGAAAACAGTTTTGCATAATAGGTCTGCTTTAAAGTAAACAGGTGAATCACTGTTTACCGTACCTCTGGCGAGAGATTCAAAGCTCCACTCACAAACAGTACAAAAAACATAAATTGAGGAGCTGAGATAGTGCTGTAATACTTATATATGTGCTTGAGTAACAAAGTATTTATGAATGCATACAACTAGTGCTGGTGTTAGTACCTGCATGTTGAAAACTTCATCAGAACTTTCCGATTGCCCTGTGATGTTACTGACTTCGTTTGAGGCCTGAGACGACAGGGAGGACGAGGAGTAGCGGTTCACAGCTGGGTAACTGAGAGGACTACGGAAAAAATAAACAAAGCGATAATATGAGGAAAAAGGAATACAATCATAACAAGATCGTATGATGAAATTTTACTCACCAAAGCCATTTTGTTTTAGCAGCAGCGAAGCAGACGGGACAGGGAAGACAAAAAGACATATTTTAGACAAGCAGTAGATAAAACGCAACACACATTTTCTTTTTTTTTAAAGTTTTGTAAAAAAGTACGAAAGCAGAAAGCACTCATTGCACAAATATTTCATCAAAGGCTGTAACCTGCTTTTGTGTCACCACCAATTCAGAAAGTGAAAATCAGAGAAGAGGAGGAGGGGGAGGAGGAGGAGGAAGAGTAGAGAAATGTCAGCGTAGATTGAGAGTATGGGATGGCTTGTAGCTCGCCCCCTGGGATCAGACTGTGGAGGAAGAAAAGGAGCAGGTACACAGCAAGGCAAGGTCACCGGGCACAGAGCACCGAGCAAGCATACACACAAATAAGAGCCAAACAAGGAGAGAGCATGGTCCAGACACACACACTTCTGTATTTACGGAGAAGAGAGAAGAGAGAAGGGAGCTGAAGAGGGAGAGAGAGACAGGCAGAGACAACAAGAGTCAGAGAGACAGAGAAAGACAGACAGAGAGGGGGGCACAGGGAAAGAGAGAGACACAGAGAGAGACAGACATGGGGAGAGAAAGACAGACAAATGGAGAGACAGAGAAGAAGTGACACAGAAAAAGACAGACAGACAGAGACAGAGACAAAGAGAGGCTTAGAGACAGACAGAGAGAGGGGGGATAGAGAGAGAAAGAGAAAGAGAGACAGACAGCGAGTGGGGCAGAGGGGAAGAGAGAGAGAGAGAGAGACAGACAGAGAGAGAGAGAGAGAGAGAGAGAGAGAGAGGCAGAGAGACAAATAGAGATAGAGAGATAGAAAGAGTCAGAAAGAGCGACAGAGAGAAAGACAGACAGAGAGAGAGACAGAGGAAGGGACAATGAGACAGAGAGACGGGGGGGTCAGAGAGAGAAAGAGAAAAAAGGAGAGAGACAGACAGAGAGTGGGAAAGAGAGATAGAGAGAGACAGACAGAGAGAAAGAGTGGCAGAGAGACAAACAGAGAGTGACACAAAAAGAGTCAGAGAGAGTGACAGAGAGAAAGAGACAGTAACAGAGAGAGAAAGACAAACAGAGAGAGAGAGAGAGAAAGACAGAGACAGAGAGGAAGCGACAGAGAGACAGACAGATAGAGACAAAGAGAGATAGAGAGACAGTCAGAGAGAGAGATAGAAAGAGTCAGAAAGAGTGACAGAGAGAAAATCAGACAGAGAGAGAGAGAGAGAGACGGAGAAGAATAGACAGAGACAGACAGATAGGGACAAAGAGGCAGAGAGACAGATAGGGGGGGCAGAGAGAGAAAGAGAGGGAGGGAGACAAACAGACAGAGATTGGGACAGAGGGAAAGAAAGATAGAGTAGGACAGACAGAGAGAAAGAGAAGCAGAGAGACAAACAGACATAGACAAAGAGAGGCGGAGCAATAGACAGAGAGAAATAAAGGGGACAGAGAGAGAGAAAGAGGAAGAGAAACAGAGGGGGTGCAGAGGGAATGAGAGAGGCAGAAAGAGACAGAGACAGCAACAAAGAGAAAGAGAGAGAGACATAACAGAGACAGAGAGGGAGGCACAGAGACAGACAGAGAGAGAGAGAGGTAGACAGAGTGAGAGCAAGCGAGAGAGAGAGTAAGGATATGAAACTTGATTTTACTGAAAGGAAAAAAGAAATAGTCAAGTAAAACAAGATGAGAAAGGGACAGAGGTCTAGACTGGAGGCTGGCTGAAGAAAGTTAGAATATGAGACAGATGGAAAGGCTGTAACACTGGATGCAATAACACTTTGTTTATTTACCACAGGGATTTCAAGTGAGGACTGTTTCCATAGCGATTAAGCATTTGAAATCAGATCATTTTATCTTTTGAATAGGGCTACGTCCTCAAATGTCCTGAAAGAATCCTGTTAGCTCAGAATTTGTGATTACTGATCGCTGTATTGATAGCACATACTGCACCATTTTCAGCGCAAACACACATCGACCTCTTTATCAATGAAAAATAATATAATGAATAATAATATCCTTAATAAATGAGTACTTGTTTATACAAAAAAAAAAAAAGCACAACAAGAGAAGAAGCCTAAATAGAAAGTGAAACTGACAGAGCTGCTGACCTGCGCCTGGTGACCCCTCTGCCCGCGTCGGGGCTGATGATGTTGGGCACAGAGTTGCGGCAGGTGCGAGGGCTGCCATTGGTGAAGTGCACGGGACTGGCACGCACATACGGGGGGAACTCCTGTGGTTTAAAAGAGCACAGAATTACACACAGTTAAACAGCAGATGGATTCAGGGTTTAGTGTTTTTTTTTTTTTCATGGTTGTGAATCTAAAAAAGATGCATTCATGTTGAACAAAGGTCAAACCACGAGGAGGGGAGAATCACCGGATCCTGGTTCTATTTGTGGTGATAAAATTGTACCGGAACCGTCATACAAACTGCAGAAATAATTTTGTTTTTTTACTGTTATTTTGCTAGTAGTAAAATAATGATAGTTATTAATACAATTTCAATATTGGGCTACCAATGCTTTTATTACAACTATTATCATTAATTCCCCTGTTACTAGGCCTAAGAATCTAAGATTACATTTTTATTTATTTATGCTTTTCACTCACACTCCACAATGCTGCTTATTAAAATATAAAACCGTATTTTACCAGAATAAAAATATTTCTAGAAATAATATACTCTTATTTAAAATCCGCCTTCTTACACTGAACTGAAGAGACCATACATACTTCTCATGGCTGTTGTCAAATACAAGAAGTGTTGCCATAAAACAAAGTTAATGACTCGAGAAAACAATATTATACTTTCTAATGCACAGTGCATTACCTTTAATAAACTCTCAATCACTGAGAGCCTCATAAAGGTGTCAACAATGGAGGTTATAAATATGCATGAAGAGTCAAACAAATAGAGTCGTACCTGAATGCCCAGGCTGGACTTCATCAGGTGGAACTGGTCCACCAGCTTCTTGTGCAGAGGCCTCATGTCCTGAGGAACGAACTTCTCATGGACAGCAAGTCCGTACTCCAGGATGTGAGCCTGAAGAGAGGAGAGCATGCAACTGTTTCAGATGACAGTGAAAACATTCTATGGACCAGTGGTTCTCAAACTTTATAAATGATTTTTATTTTATTGCCATTTATTTCACCAGAATAGTCCCACTGAGGACTGCTGGAAACCCTGTTGTACATGTTTTTAGTGGGAGGGGAAACCACTGCACCTGAAAGGAAACCGGAGCAGGCACATAGAGAACATGCAAACTCCACACAGAAAGGACCCGCACTGTCCCAGAACCCAACCCAAGACCTTCTTGCTGTGAGGTGAGAGCGCTAACCTCTTTGCTTCTAGTTTTAGAACTTGAATTAAACTGATTTAATTCTAAATTCAACACATAATTGGACTGCAGAGGAAGGAGCGTCCAGTACCACCAGTGGTACAGGCACCACAGTTTGACAACCACTACAATTGGCCCATAATATTTAATCCAGATGGGAAAGCAGGTCTTATAAAAATGTATAAAAAGCTGCATTTTGTTGAAAATAATGAGTTCAATGGTTACATTTTTAACTTGCCTCTTAGAAATAATATTAAGCATTTCTCATGAAAAGACTCTGTGCTATAAAACTTTCTTCTTTTGTCCCATCTAAGAGTAAGACAACATATTTTAAAATTATAAAACCACCAACACATCTTAGTGATTTTGTAATTCTACTTTATATTTTTCCTTTCTAAAATATGTTGCTTACTAGAACTGTTTTAGCAAAAATATTAATGCACTAATCATTCTCGTCCAGCAAAAAAAACTAAACAAAACAAAAAAAACAACAACACACATTTAATTTAAATAGTACTGTTTTCCATTGAATAAATTATCTTTCCACTGATCAAACCACTAGTATTTATGCACTTTCTTAGGATGCGCGTCCTAAAAAAATAACTTACTATTCAAAGCACTACAGTCCCCTTTTAAAAATAGCTGTTTGTCTGTGTAGCAGTTCCAATAAAAAAAAAAAAAAAAAAACTTGAAAATCCCAAATGATCTTTAGCTGTGTTGAGGCAGCTGCTTGATCATGTTATCTCTGGTCTGAGAAAATAAATCAGCAGGACTTGGCGCGCTCCAACTGTGAGATCCATCGTAGTAATTAATCATATGAAGTCTACTTGGAGTGTTCTGTACAAGAATTATTGTTTAAGATGATGCGCAAGCAAATCATAAACACTATATATTTTCTAATCCTCTTACATTGTTCAGTAGTACACTCTTTCTCATGTTGATTGAAAACTTACCTATTGAGTCTGTAATAATTCATAAGTCATAAGTTTATTGTGGTTATTTATACATTCAAAATAAATCCACAAATTATTGATTCAAACATTATCAAAAGCTGCATTTACTTGAATGGCATTCTACTTGAGTAACACCTTTCTGGAGTAATAGTAAAGATGAAAAAATAAAATAGTTATCCGGTTGTGAGTTTCATTTGCGTTTCATTTTCAGATATAATGCAATTTGGCAATACCACACTGTGTAGATTTGTTGTTTTGACTGTTTAATTATACTCAAAAATCATAAATCTAAAGTCTAAAGAGTTTTTCAGTGTCATGTTCACCACCAAATACTTTTTTAATGTTACTTGAGTAAATCATCCTTACAGTTCTTACTTCTACTTGAGTAATATGATTTTTAACAGTTTTCTTTCATAAGGACAATTTGTGGCTACTATATTATCTACCCTTGTATTTTAATGTCAAACAAGTGATATTCCAGCACAAACCTGTTCGAACATAAGCTCCCTCAGTCGTCCAATCTTGTCTCCGTCCTCTGGGTGGTTCATAATATAGTCCTTGACAAAAAAGGCCTGTACAGAGACATAATGCAGCACATCTGTTATTCTCACACTGGGAGGCAGAGCTGCAGTTACCTGGATCCCCACTGGGCTCATGCACTCAACTACAGCACACACAAGGCTTTGTTTAAGTGCTCAACAATGGCAAAGAACAAACTGGGGACAAGATACCATTTGTGTTGCTAATAAAGGGAAAGTTACAGATTTATTAAGTCAAGACTATAGAGACTATTAATATGGTCAATGGTCACACATTTATACAGCGCTTTTCCACCTTCAAGGCACTCAAAGGACTTTACATCAAGGAACCACTCAGCCATTCACACGCACATTCATACACCAGTGTTGGCGCACACTCGGGGCGAGGTGGGTTAAGTGTCTTGCCCAAGGACACAACGACAGCATTCATCTGTGAGAGTCAGAATCGCACCGCCAACCTACGAGCCAGCAGATTTGGCCTCTTTACTGTTTACAGTGAAGTTTATGTTGAGAGCGGGATTCAAACCACCAACCAACTGAGCAACTGTCGCCCCTAATATTATTTTGTAGTTAGTAAAATCATTAGGGATGTAACAATAACCAAAATATTGTGATATCGTATCGTCAAATGTCTCACAATAATATCATGAGCTGTCACAATATATTGAATGACAAGTTCCTTTGCTTAAAAGCGTAGTTTTATAGTAGTAACAGCTTATGAACATCAGAAACTACATATCCCATGATTCATTTCAGTACAGACAACATGAAGAAATATGTTTTTTCCTTGAATTCTTGGGATTATGACGGAAATAATTCACACCAAAACCTTGTCAAGGTATTTTAAAAGCAAAAAAGTGTCCCATCTACAATTATATCAGCTTCTTCAAAATATCGTACCGTGAGATGCATATCGTGATAATATCGTACCATGAGATTTGGATATCGTTACATCCCTAATAATCATCATTACCACCACCACCATTAGGGCTGGGCATCATTAAGAAATTCCTAATATGATACAGACCTCGATACATAGGCCATGATACGGTTCATATTTCGATACAGTGCGTTTTCAATTTGATACAATACATTTCAAATTAATTCGATACAGTTCAATAAAAAATAAAGGCTAAATCATGGCTGTGATACTAAAAGTCTTTGTTAAACCACTTCTTGTACAAAATTCATATGAAACACAAACATTTTACTCATCAAAATAGTGAAAATGTCAAATGTGTTGCATAAAAACATTTCCTTCACCTAAACAAGCAACAAAACTGTAGCGCTCTAATGAAATAATTTAGTAAAATATACCAAAAATACTCTTGGCAATATATTGATACAGCAGCCCACAATACTGATACTGTATCATCACAATAAACAATATGATATATCAATATTTTGACATTTTTGCACACCCCTAACCACCATCATTATTTCATCTTTTTATTTTTGTACAGTTTTCACATAATTGAATAATGTATATTTAAATTCATATATATATATATATATATATATATATATATATTTGTATAGAATATTTTTATTTTCATACTTTCTGATTACTTAACTGGAATATACACTTTCTTAAAAATGACATGTCCCTACATCAATCAATCAATCAAACTTTATTTATAGAGCGCTTTTCATACAAAAAAATGCAACACAAAGCGTAACCAGCAGGAAACATTTAGACCAATGTATGAAAAAAAAGACGATAATTCAGTTTAGATCTCTCATTTTATGGCATCTTCTGGTTTTCCATTACATAATCAGTCTTAAAATAAAATAACGATTATGTTGTTTGTGGTTTTAGATTCTTTCAGTACAGAGATGGCAACGCTCTGAATAGAAATGACTTGTACAGCTATCTGCTTTAAAATCTTAAACAGAAGAGGCACATGAAGGGACAGAGCAGAGATGGTGAGGTTCACACACAGCAGCAGGCTCCTGGTCCCTGGACGCACCTGTCTATCTCCAAAGAGACAGAGACCACTGACTGACATCTGCACAGAACACACACTGTATAAGATAATGTATGCGCCGAACACAGCTTTTAAAATCCGCTTTTTTATTTGAAGTGTAAAAGAGATGTAGATGTAAAGGAAATATTATAGTTATGCTGAGAAAGTGGCATTTTGTTCATCCATCAGCACGAAAAATCTGAAGACTAGATACTCATTTGAACAAGTATTACTGAAAAAAAACACACAAATAGAACAAATTTGGACCCATCACAAGATCACATGGTAATTTTATAGGAAAAACAATATTTAAAAATGCACTGAGTAACATTTCTAGTGGAGGGTCCAACACTTTAATAGATTAAACCTACGTATCACAAGAGAGACAAGCAGGTTACCGCACTACGCTACATTACAGCTCAGATCTGTGGAGAGTCAGCCCTATCACATATGGAATTATTCTATTTTCGAGCAACAGAAACACCCATAATAATGAATAAATGCTAGATGTATATGTTTAATGTCATACCATGAAACATTCCAGGCAAAGCAATAACATCTCCATGGAGACAAGCATAAAAGGTTAAAGGGACAGTTTGAAATTTTGGCCATAGGGCCTCATTTCCTCAGCCAGGCTGGTGCCACCTAGTGAAATTTAATTTCTCTCCAGCGACTAGGTCAGGATTCAGAATACATTAGACCACAGGTGTGAAACATGCGGCCCTGGGGCCAGATCCGGCCCTCCAAGACCTTTAATCTGGCCCTGGGCTGATTTTCTACTAAAATATTTTAATTATATTTTTTATTAAAATATTGTAAATTTTCTGTGGCGCTTATCATAGCAGTGTCTCCAGCGTCTCTGTGCGTGGCCCCTCCCACCAGAGCAGAGTCTCTGTACGTGGCCCCTCCCACCAGAGCAGCACAAATGAAGACTTGTCTCTTTCCAAACGCTCTTAAAGGACGATCGTTTTGACTGTCGACCGTGACACCCTCATCAGAAAAATGTCCAAAATGAGAAAAGTGGAGCCGAGTGCAGGATTTTCTTAAAGTTTCAGGTTGTTCATAATATTATAATATTCTGTAAAAGAAAGAGTTCATCTATTAAAAAAAAATTCCGTAATAGATTTGCATTTCTCTGCACAAATATTTGAACTTATGGCATATAAACCCCAAAAACAGCAATTAGTTTTCTGATCCTGCCCCTTTGGGATCAAAGTAGGTTCGATACGGTCCCCGGACCAAAATGAGTTTGACACCCCTGCACTAGATGGTTTGCAAAAACCCTGGAAGCGTGAGTCCAGACACCAGCCAATCATCGAAGAGCCATACATTCTGTGTTGGCAACGATTCCCAAGATCGAGGATTTAAAGCCGGAACAAAGAGAATGTTTGAATTTTATCAAAGGGAAAGACGTTATTGACCTTCTTCCTACAAGATTTGAAAAAACTTAATATACCAGTTAGCCCCGTTAGTGGTGCAATACATACGTTATGACCAAATAGCAGCAACTGGTTAAATAAAAAAGTACCCGCCTACCGTTGAGCAAATGAATTCTAAAGCTGCGAGATCAGACGGTTTCCATGAAGTGAAACTGGCTGATGAATCAGGTTATCATTTCCTAGTTAGCTAGAGTGTTGGAGACATGTGGAGACACTTTTTAAAAAAATATTTCATCCAGTCCTTGTATTTGCAGAGGTCGCTGATGTTAGGCTAGAGCATGTCAATGGCCATAGTTATCCTGCCACTAAAAACACCCCTTACCCACTCCACAAAACACCCGAAGCAAATCTATTATTAAACCAGACTGTCGATGTGAATGTCTATGTTGATAGAATAATGTTTGAAATAAAACTAACCTTGCATCACATGAATCGTTGTATGTTGAGGGACTATTTTCTCAGCAGCAGTGGAATTTTACTTTGCTGGTAAGATAAGTGCTAGTTGATATCAGTCCGCCGCTGCCAAGTTTTCTATCAGTAAGCACAACTCTGTGCTGTCACTCAGACATAAATCCTTCAAATGCAAGGTTGGTTTTACTTCTAAAATTATGCTATTAACACAGACATTCACATCAACAGTCTGGTGTAATAATAGATTTGTTTCAGGTGCTTTGTGGAGTGGGTAAGACATGCACTAGCCTAGCACCAGCGACCTCTGCAAACACAAGGACTGGATGGATTATTTTAAAACGTGTCTCCACATGTTTCCAACAGTCCTATGTTTGATAAAGAGAAAAACACAACTCATCAAATACAGGATATGTTATAGGCCTTAAAGTTTCCGGAGTAGTAAATAGGTTGCAGTGGGATTTACCATGTGAATCAAACACTATATGAAATCTATGTGGATATAAGAAGGTAGTAATTTTAAAAAGATAAGAGCTATTTTTCACTTCTCCCAGAGTATATATCTTGGGAAAAGGCAGCAAATGAAATCAATAATTTTCCTCCAATCTGTCAATGATGGAAAATACATGCAGTTCAGATGAGACTCAGAGTTCACCGTGGAGAGGCTGATTTAATCATTAGAGAAGTCCAATTAGAGACGAACAGTGAGGGGAAGAAATACATCAGGCAGCATCCTCCTCCAGGGCCCAACTCAAACTAAAGCAATACATCTGAATATTAATAATGACAATTTCTCATACATTTCTATCAGAGGAGACCACCTCAGCTGTCAATCACCATTATGTGCAACTGATAAAGCTGTGCACTACCTGGACTATTCTGAAGAGAGATATTGTTTATTGTGATATGTCATACAGTTATCATAGTTTTAAAAATCATGTAGTATATTTCTAATGTTTATTTATTTATTTTTATCATCAAAACTTTTAATGTCAAATTAAATTTATTGTTTGCAGCAAATATAAGTGAGTAGTAGTAGTAGTAGTAGTAGTAGTAGTAGTAGTAGTAGTAGTAATAGTAGTAGCTTTGTGGAGATACTAATTCACAGAAAAGAGAAAAATAATAGACTAGACCAGGACTAAATGTGAACTAGACCAGGACTAAACCAGGACTAGACCAGGACTAAATGTGAACTAGACCAGGACTAAACATGGACTATACCAGGACTAAGCAGGGACTAAAGCAGGATTACCATGGACTAGTCCAGGATTAAACATGGGGTAGACCAGGACTAAATGTGGACTAGACCAGAACTAAACACGAACTTGACCAGGACTAAACGTGGACTAGACTAGGACTAAATGTGAACTAGACCAGGACTAAACGTGGACTAGACCAGGACTAAACATGGACTAGACCAGGCCTTAACATGGACTAGAACAGGACTAAACCAGGAATGACCAGGATTTAACACAGACTAGATAAGGACTAAACACGGCCTAGACCAGGACTAAACGTGGACTAAACCAGGACTAAACATGGACTAGACCAGGACTAAATGTGGACAAGACCAGGACAAAACATGGACTAGACCAGGACTAAACACAGACTAGACCAGGACTAAATGTAGACTAAACCAGGACTAAACCTGGACTAGACTAGGACTAAAAGTGGGCTAGACCAGGACTAAACATAGACTAGACCCACTCTAAACATGAACTAGACTAGGACTAAATGTAAACTAGACCAGGACTAAACCAGGAATAGACCAGGACTTAACACAGACTAGAGCAGGACTAAATGTGGACTAAACCAGGACTAGAACAGTACTAAACATGGACTAGACCAGGACTAGACAGGGACTAGAGCAGGACTAAACATGGACTAAACCAGAACTAAATGGGGACTAGACCAGGACTAAACCAGGACTAAACCAGGACTAAATCAGAACTAGACTGAAACCAAACCAGCTCTACATTAGAACAAAAGCACAGTATAAATAGCTATGAACAACACAATCCGAGTCTATTTACACCTTTTCCACACGTTTACTGTACACCCAGAGACCCCCCCTCCCCTCGATCCTCTCCTCGCTCAAACACACACAGATACCACACACTCAGATCTGACTCTCTCCCAGCAGAACACAGCGGTTGCTATGCGACAGAGAGCAAGTCGCCAAGTCCAGTCTCTACTGACGGAACAAGCATTTTCTCAAGCGCATTTTAAATCGTTTCTGTGAATTGTAGCTCTGGGTTAAAATGGCATCTTTAGGGAAACAGTATTTGCTCATGTTTGTTGGGAAGAATATGCATAAACAGAAGTACATTTAAAATAATTAATCAGAACACAGCTCAGATTTGTGTTGCATAATGTCATAAGAAATTAGTAAGAAACTCAAATGATTGCCATTAAGTTAAATTAATGCAAAAAGACCATGTACAAAACAATAAGCAAAAAGGTGCACTGAAACTTTTCTTTTGTCTAGAATGCTCCACAGTAAGGTATTAAGCACGCCTATTTTGCATTTTTTTCCCCATTACAGATGCTTTTATTCATTAAAAACACCATGAAAAACAAGCATTCTTACAATACACTGTGGTCTGACCTGTTTCTTGGCCTAATTTTGTTTTTGCTTATATTCACGGAGATAGATGAGTTTAATGTTTCACTGTGGAACATTCCAGTCAAAACAATAACATTTCCACAGTCTATAATGTATTGATTTTAAATGACTAAATTCCACTAAATAAAAGGCCAGAGTTACAGAGGAGCTGTTAAAGCAGAGAGTTACTTAGTCTATTTTGGTTATAGCATATCAACAATTTGCAAAACATTACTTTAATTGTAATTGAATTGTTAATTACTTTTTACCTCAATGAGCTGCCACAGAATGTAGCGGTCCAAAGTTATTACTCACATTCCTAACGCATTCTGAACTAGACCAGGACTAAATATGGACTAGACCAGGACTAAACATGGAATAGACCAGGACTAAACATGGACTAGACCAGGACTAAACATAGACTAAATCAGGACTAAATGTGGCCTAGACCAGAGCTAAGGACTAGATCAGAAATAGGCCAGGACTTAACACAGACTAGACCAGGTCTAAAAGTGGGGTAGACCAGGACTATACATGGACTAGACCAGGTCTAAACATAGACTAGTCTAGGACTAAATATGGACTAGACCAAGACAAAATATGGACTAGACCAAGACAAAACATGGACCAGACCAGGACTAAACATGGACTAAACCAGGACTAAACATGGACTTAACCAGGACTAAACATGGACTAAACCAGGACTAAACATGGACTAGACCAGGAGTAACCATAGACTAAACCAGGACTAAACATGGACTAGACCAGGACTGAAAATGGACTAGACCAGGACTAAACATGGACTAGACCAGGACTAAACATGGACTAGACCAGGACTAAACATGGGCTAGACCAGGACTAACCATAGACTAAACCAGGACTAACCATAGACTAAACCAGTACTAAACATGGACTAGACCAGGACTAAAAATGAACTAAACCAGGACTAAAAATGGACTAGACAGGACTGAAAATGGACTAGACCAGGACTAAACATGGACTAGACCAGGACTAACCATAGACTAAACCAGGACTAACCATAGACTAAACCAGGACTAAATGTGGTCTAGACCAGGGCTAAACAAGGACTAGATCAGAAATAGACCAGGACTTAACACAGACTAGACCAGGATTAAAAGTGGCGCTAGGACTAAATATGAAGTAGACCAGGATTAAACCAGGACTAAATCAGGAATAGACCAGGACAGTCGTGTACAGCGCTTTCCCAGCTGCTCAAAGTCTTTATGTCATAGTTCTTTCTTCTAATGCACAATACAGGAAGCAGTTGCAAAGTCCCACTCAGCTCTTTCCTTCAACCATTAAACAATCCATCTCATTTCCTCCCTCTCCTCTATCTCACATTTTTGACCTGACCCCTCTTTATCCCTGCGTTCATCTCTCGACCACACCCCCTTCCAGGCCATTTGTATATCACGCATCCATCCTCTACAGCACTTCCTCCTCCTCCTTCTCTTCCCGCTCCTCAAATCCTGTGAACCTACTGAGTCATACCCTCACCCCTTCACGCACTCTTTCACCCACCCGTCCATCCATCCATCTTTCCCTCTACAAATGCTGCTGCCGGCCCATACGTCTCCCAGTATAAAACCACCTTCATGGATCATTTGGAAATCTATATGTCATCTCTCGTCTCCGGTTCAGTCGCTAAAACACTCCAGCCCCGTCCTCCATCAATCCAGGCGTTTGTGTTCTTACAACAATAACATTTCCTGAGCTTGGTACTAAGGAAAAGGTTTCATACTCGAATGCAATTGAATATACCTACAAAACAAACTAAATAATAGCTGTGTCTTAGTTCTGGTGAAGGGCATGCCACCTGCTTGTGTCCATAGAGATGTTATTGCTTCACCTGGAGTGCTCCACAATATTTCATCAATTGTATATATCTTGCTTTTATTAAATTGCAGGTCTTTTTATGGATTATGAAAAAATATACCTTAAAAAACACCTTCTTACTGTAAGAAGGATTTCTTTCTCCTTTCCACAGATGCAACCTACTGTATTTTTCGGACTACAAATCGCACTGTTTTTCATGGTTTGGGTGATCCTGTGACTTAAATATTAACATTTTCACACTGACAGTCATGAGAGGGCGCTCTAGGCTTGTGTGCCAATATCTATTACTTCTGTACCACTGTCATTTCGCTCTACTGTGCATGTCTCCTGCATGTGTCCTGCTGCAAGTAGTGAAATATGCAGCCGAAAACGGTAATCGAGCAGTAGAAAGAAAGTTTGGAGTGAGCGAGAAACTAGTGAGGGACTGGCGGAAAGCGGGGATGGAGAACACAGTTTCACGGTAACTGGGAAGGTGCACCGTGCAACTTTCCTGGAAGTCATTGGATGAATCGACAAAGCCTGGACTTCAGTGACAACCAAAATCATCCTGTCAGGATTCAGAAAGGCTGGGATAATTCTAACTGGATCTGATACTGAGTCTGATGACAGCTATGCAGAAGAGGAAGTAGCGCTCCGCTTTCCGCTAGAGGTTGCGGAGTTGTTCCAAAGTGACACCAAGAATGAAGAATTCAATGGATTTAATGATTTGGAGTGAGACTGAGAGTTTGGTAAACATGTTATGTTCTGTCGTTTATGCTATATTTATCTGAATAACTGTTCATATGTGACGTTAACAGTCTGTTCTGTTCTCTGTTCTATTGTTATTACTATAACTTGCCTTTCAAGATGAAATGTCAGTTCCTGGTCTCTGATTTTATGAAATAAATTTCCCCCAAAAAGTTCGGTAGTCCGGTGTGATTTATATATGTTTTTTTCCTTCTTCATTATGCATTTTTTGGATAGTATGACTTATACTCCAGAGCGACTTATAGCCCGAAAAATATGGTGCATATATGTTTAATGCCATACTGTGTAAAATTCTAAGCAAAGTAATAACAGTGAAAAGCAGGTGGCATACTTCCGAGTAGGTATGTTGTATTGTTGTGTCGTTGTATTGTTATGTCGTTGTGTCATTGGGTCTTTGGGCAAGTGGTTGCTTGATGTAAAGTTCTTTGAGACTCTTGAAGGTGAAAAAGTGCTATAGAAAACTGTGACCATTTACCATTTTAATATTTCCATGTGGTTTTGCTCTGAAGATCAAGACAGTTCAGAAACTGCAGTTAAACTACTGCATTTTTCACAGCATAGATAAAGTGTGTTTTATTACGATAAATATTTTTGATGGCGTACCTCTTGGTATCGTGCCAGGCCCCCGTTGACCGCGGCGTCGATGACCCCGTTGAGGCACATGGTGAGGGGGTTGATGTTGGTCATCTGTCGGTTCTGACACTGAGTGATCAGAGTGCGCAGCTGCAGGTTCTTGTTCTCTATCACCTCAATGGCATTCTCCAGAGGGCTCACCTCCACCTAAACAAAAATATTTGGTTACTATACTAATTAATACATACTGATGCTACTTTGGTTTTCCAGTAAAACTTTCTGAGGCAAACTGTTGAGATAAATGCATAAAATTGAACATATGCGTATGTGTGTATTCTAAAATACATACTTATAAATAGATCTTCTCTCCTGCACTTATAATAGATTTTTTCTTCATTGTTTTTGTAAAAAGTTTTTCTGTCATCTCGTATTCTATCCATTAAGAGGATTAAGCACAATAAGTGTCCTTAAACTTCAGCCTAAACCCCTTCAGTCTGCAGAATCGAATAATAATAGTAAGTAGGCATGTAACAATAACCGAACTATCGTGATATCGTATCGTCAAAGTTCTCACAATAATATCATGGACCATCACAATATATAGAATTACAAGTCTCATGGCTTAAATTGAGAGTTACGGTGCAGCAACAGCTAAAAAAAAAAGGCAGAGGGAACTACATAGACCATGATCCTTTGCTCCATTTCAGTGTAGACTACATGAAGAAATAACAGTTCTAAGCACTTTTAAGTCTTAGTTCTTTGGATTAAGTCTTGTCAAGACATTTTAAGAATTTTTTTTATTTTTTTTTTATAAATATCGTACAGTGACATGTATATTATGAAAATATTGTACCAAGAGATTTGGATTTGTTACAGTCCTAATCGTGAGCCTCCACACCATATCATGAGATTTCCTATGATATCGCAATAAATATCGTACTGTGAGATTCATACTGTGATGATATCGTATCATGAGACTTGGAAATCGTTACACCCCTACTAATAAGTGTTATGGATTCATTTTGTGTTATTCATGAATCATTATAACATGATTAATGATTATGCCAACTGACCAAACAAAATAAATCATAAACCAACTAGCTAAAACTACCAGACCATATGCTAATACACAGGGAGACACTAACTTTGTCACTTGTCACAAATAATACTTGGGGGATATTTAGGTGTTGAGTTATATTTAAATAAAATTGCAAGTTACTTAGATTGTTCATTCTATGGTATATGCACAATCTACAATTTCTTTCAGCCTAACCATGGATAAAAAGTTATTTTATGTTACTTTTATTATTTTTTATGTCGCTAAAAATGACATAAGATGGCTCAATAAAAAGTCAAGATATCTGAAAAATAAAACCAGGTATTTGTTTGATTAAAACGGATTGGGTTGACTTTGTGACATTTTCATTTTTTGCTTAAACAAATATCAAATACTGGGATGTCAAAAACAAGATGAAACCAGCAACTTGATTTCCAGAGTCAAATCCGATCTTTCAAAGGTCATGAGACGTGTCGACTGGCCTTTACCTGGAGACCTCAGTCATTACAGCAAATCAATGCGCTCACATCAACAGAGAGTTCAAATGACATAACAGCATAAGAGAATCCCCGTAGTTTAACACTGAGATAGAGAATAGAGAACAGGTCAGAATGTTATGGTGGAATTTACTGTTTGTCAGATTTCAGATTTGTTGACTTGGTTTATGGTTAATATATCTGGAATAACTGGGCCTATCCACATGAAACAAAAAACTGGCACAAAGTTCAACATCTAATTTGTCAATACAAACAAAAAAAATGCAAATACTCAACCACAAAGATGAAATTCCTGTCAATTAAAAGACTTAAAGCCCCAACGCTGCACGACTGACACAACTTGGTATACTCAGTCTTTGTTATGGAAAAGATTACAATATATAATAGATTTCAAATGGACAAATTTGACAAGATATAAAAGTGATCCGGTGAACTTTAATTTTATCTAAATGTAACTGTACACCCCTTGTTTGTTTATTGTTTTGTGTGTGTAAGAAAAATAAATAAATAAATAAATAAAGACTTAAGGCTACAAGATCAATCTGGCATGTTTGTGGAGCCCTTGCCTAACAAATAATGATAAGGTTTGACATTCGTGGATCGTAATTTTGGATATTTCTTTCAAAAACAGAAAAATCTCTCATACAGTTATACAGTCCCTTAGCCTCCATCTGAAATCATAATGTCATCAAACGCTCCAGTGAAGATGATGAGTGTTACGTACCACTTCCCTCTTCTCCACTTCAAACCAGCGGGAGATTCCTGGAAGACTTTGCACCAACGTCAGTGTCGTCCGCTCCACCCACAGGCTCTGAAATCACACACATGACACACAAAAACATGAAGATGGAGATTCAGTCCTTTCAAATTGTGATATGTTTGGGCAATAATGTTTATACTAAGTAATTAAATAAAGTAAAGACATGGCATATCACCCAGCTCTATCTAAACAGGGTGAAACAAGGAAAAAAATTACCAATGAACTTAAAACAAAGCATAACTACTAATTTAAAGATAGTACACAACTTTTATTAGCTTTAAGCCACGTTAGACTGTTGTTACCTCCTCAAAAACATACCTGGAGTTGTGCTTAAATTTCTTTCACACAGGTTTGAGTAATCCTTTATTATTTGTCTGTCTACATCTCCAAAGCTCAAAATGCTCCGTTCCACCTTGTGATTTCATGAAGCGGCAGTTTTCAGCTTTAGTTCAGTAGAGAGAGGCAATTTCAAGTGCTGAAATAATCGAAATGACTGTAGTGAAGGTGTATGGAATTTCAAAACAGCGGAGCACTTCCTGTATTACCACATGACGTCACTAGATGGAACAATGTTTTCTGTTTGAGAGAAGAACTCAGCCTAAATATGCAGGGTTTGGCTGTTAAAGAACAAACAAAATAAAACTCCAGGTATGTTTTTGATGAGGAAAGAACATTTTAAACATCGTAACAGATCAGAAAATAGCGTAACATGAGCCCTTAAACTTTCATGTCAATTCATTTTGGTACACAGTTAAACATGGCGACTGTATCTTCTGCCTGACACCCACTTGGAGCTGTAGGTCAAATGTTATGTGTTACATCTCAGTCATCAGTCATGTTCTAGCACTAACGCTGTCAGCTAGCATGTCAATATGGCCACAAAGCACAAGGTCAGGCAGACAGCTCATAAACTAGCAAACTCAATACGTTCTATCACTCAAACAAAGAGCTCTGTATGGCCCACCAGTACGGACACTTAAGATGTAGATGTTTTCAATTGGAAAGGTGAGAGAAGAGCAAAAAAGAAGAAAATTACCACACAGAGGTCACATGGAACATATTTTTGCTCTTACTGGTGATTACTATATAAATATGTTTAAAATATAACACACAATTTGATTGTTTCTATGGATATGTCGTTACTCTGCCTGAAATGTTCCACAGTATGACATTAAACAGCTCTACCTTACATTTATTCAATTACAGGTGGTTTTATAGCTCAAATATAGTTAGAAAAACAGGCATTCTGACTGTGAGCGTGTCGCCTCTCCACAGATCTGACCTGGAACATGGTCTGGTCTGTTCTCCATGAAGATAGAAAGGTTTAATACTATACTGTAAAACATTCCAGACAAAGCAACTACCAGAAAAGTTACACAATGCACCTTTAAGTCAACCTTGGTCAATCATAGAGCATTACTGTACACAAACTACAAAGACGCACTATGTAACTTTTCAAACACTTGCTTGTCTTCATGGAGATATTATTGCTTTTCCATAGTAATAATGCATAAAAATCTATCTATATCCAACAGTAGATGCTACCAGACCAAGATAAAGGTCAGCTCTGCAGAAAGAAGATACATCAGGCATTTTGAGAAATAATCATCCTTAATAAAAATCAAATATAGATTTGCTTAATACCAACCATACTGTGGAATATAAAAACAAAGCAATAACATCTCCATGGCTGGCCCTCCACCAGAAAAGTTACATACTACACTGACAGTTAGGAATTTTGGACTTTAGATCTCATTTCCTAGTGAGTCAGAGTGTTGGAGACGTGTGGAGACACTTTTGTAAATATTCCATCCAGTCCTTGTATTTGCAGAGGTCGCTGGTGCTAGACTAGTGCAGGTCAATGGCCATAGTTATCCTGTCACTAAAAACAGTCTTACTCACTCCACAAAACACCCGAAGCAAATCTAGTATTGTGCCAGACAGTCAATGTAAATGTCTGTGTTGATAGAATAATGTTTGAAATGAAACTAACCTTGCATCACATGAATCATCGCATGTTGAGGGACTATTTTCGCATACATCAGTCACCACTGACAAGCTTTCTATCAGGAAGTACAATTCGCTGCTGCTGCTCAGACATAAATGCTTGAAATGCAAGCTTGGTTTTACTTCTAAAATTATTCTATTGACAGAGACATTTACATCGACAGTCTGGCGTTATAATTGTTTTGCTTCGGGTGCTTTGTGGAGCGGGTAAGACTAGACAGGATAACTATGGCCATTGACATGCACTAGCCTAGCACCAGCGACCTCTGCAAATACAAGGACTGGATGGAATATTTTAAAAAGTGTCTCCAGACATCTCCAGCACTCTGGCTCACTAGGAAATGAGGCCCTCTGTCCAAAATTCCGAACTGTCCCTTTAAAAACCTGATGTGACTTTTATAAATGGGCTTGCAAAACGTGTGAGGAAAATTGAAAAAGATTAAGGACGGATACCTAAATTATAACTAAATTAGCTTTCACCTTCACCTTGGTTTTATGAGGGAACAGTCAGGTACACGAAGGAATTCCTAAATTATTCAAAGTTGATTGAAAATTGGGGTCTTGCTCAAGGACACTCCAGCAGAGCGGACAGGACCTGACACACTCTATTGATCCTGTAGGATGGAAATGGGGCTTCCGGCTTTCTCTGCAACCCAACTGCCCTCTATTGATTTAGTGCTTTTTAAACACAAGAAAAGCACAGGAAAATCACTCGGACACAATTAAACTTGACCGGTCAACTCATTGTCTGAATACTGTGTAGCTCACCCCTACAGTGATAAATATGAGTTTACAGGGGCCATCCTTAAAATAATAAAATAAGTACAAGTATTTTTTATTGACTCCCTGAAATGAAACACTCAACTCATAAACCTCATCCCTGGGTGCACGAAATAGTCTGTTAAGTGCAACAGTTTTATAACACATCTCATTTCTTTGAGAGGTAAAATATATGACTACAGTTGTGGTTAACATTTATATAATCAATCATAAGTGCTTTTTGGGGCTCAGCTGTGGCTCAGTATCCACGTGGTGTTAGTAAGTTATTGGTGGTGGTCAGAGTTAGTGATGGCACAGACTGGCAATTGGCAGATTGGGGTCAGTTTGACCCCAGGGCAGTTGTAGCTACAAAATAGATCGCCAGAACCAAGTGTGGAGTGACTGAATAATAATGACAGAGAGAGAATGCTGAGAGAAGAAACTTGAGAAATGTCTTAAGCATGCGTGATGGAAATTTATACTGTGGAAAGACGATTGTTTGTGTAAATGAATGCAATTTCTACCCAAGACCAGACCAGTCATTAACATGTGTAAAGGCTCAGCACCCTCAGGAAACTGTGTGTTGTCTTAGCTTTCCTCAAATGTATGTTAAGCTGTGAAACATATCTGCTTTATGTATATAAATATGTATGTAACTTGTATTTCTGTATAAATACTCAGAGCTCAAATGCTGTGGAAGGAGATAATCAGAGCTCAGATGCTCTGGGGGGAGAGGCTGTTGGTCTCACTCGCTATAACAAGAATAAACCTTTGTCAGGGTATCCCCAGGTTTGACTACACCGAATGTAAGACTTTTTAAAGACCTTTTTAAGACCACTTAAATGAAAATTAAGACCCATTATGCGGGTGAAACCACCAGATCCAATTCTAATAATGACCAACCAACTACGCACTATATCTAGAATCTAAGAGCCACTGTGGTTAGGCTAATGAAATTTAAGACGTTTGTGAAAAAATAAGGCTGGACAACATAATTTAGGACTTTTTAAGGCCTTAATTTAGGAACAAGAAATTTAAGACCTTTTTAAGACTTTTAAGACCTCGCAGCTTCCCTGTTTGTCTGTATTCCAAAAACTCATTGGGCTTCACAAATGGATTCATTATTTATCATCAAGAGATAAACATAATTTTTTCAACAACACATGTAAAGGGCAATATAAAATGCACGGCAGTATTTCTGTAATTAAGTGTCTAACATTAGTATTATCAGTGTTTTCATTTAGCCAGTCAGTTAGTTTTGCGTGTTTAAACGTATTAAAACAACTACATGTTAATTAAATAATTTAATTCATGTTGACACATCCAGGAGTAAAACAGCTTTTTTGGAAAACCTAAAACACAATTTTAGGGTACGCTTCAGTTCTTATTACTCGTTATTAGTAAAACGTTAGGTCAGTTTTGTAAATTAATAATGATTCTAGTAGGCTTTTGGCAATGAGGCTGTTTTAAGAACGAGTAGGCCAAGAAATGTACTTTTTACTTATTAGAATTTATGTAGCATATATATATATATACATTTATTTTACATGTAATATATATATAAATGGTGAGAAACACATTTATATATATATTACATGTTAAATAAATGTGGATATCCCGTACATCTAGCAGAGTTAAACTATTCTATGGATTAACATTTAGGGGAAAAACACATTTAAGAAGATGAAAAATAATAAATAAAACTTCAAATACAGGTACAGTGCATTTCCTCCTCCACAGTTCCCACGCACAGTCAGATAAGAGTGTTCCTGTAGTCAGTGTTTTACCTTGAACTCATTCTCCTTGTCTTTGCTGCCCTTGTGGAACGGCCGGTCGTATCTGAACCTCCAGATGTGATTGAACTTGTAGAAGCTTTTGATGTTGTCAGGAACACCGTCTCTCTGCAGCACATCCTGACTCTCCGGGATGGGAGTCACAGCGTAGATCTGAAGGTCTGTGCAGTTTGGGTTAAGGAATAAGACACGATATAGGCTTGGGGCAGTGCTGAAATAATGTGCAGTGATTATCATGGACAAAGTCATTACAATCAGTGAAAATATAATGATAAGTAATAAATCATATGAGTAAGGTCTATGTATTTAACACTCCAGAAGAGAACATATTAGATATAAGTATAAGATAGATGCCAATGATCACAATGAATGATTACTTATTTATCACAATAAACAGATGTTGTCCTATCCCTAAATTAACTATTTAATCACAATCGAATGCATAAACTGTAGATGCCGTATCACTTGCATGATTCCAAACATAGAAAACAGAAAGTTAAAACAATATTTCAGAACATTATCCATGGTGACAGATGAGTTTTATGCCAATGGAACATTCAATGGAAAAAGTTTGCAGTGGTTGAAAGTACCAAAGCGCATGTAGTAAAGCACTGTACTTCTGCTATAAGTTGAATTTTTAGGTATCTGTACTTTGCTTGAGTCAATTTTCCAGTGTGTACTATTTTTTCATTTAATTCACTATATTTGAGAGCAGGTATCTGTACGTTTTTTTTTTTGATTTTTTTTTACTGTTAAATGGCTTTTAAATGAATACTTAAATCATTTTACTTAAGTAGATTTTTCCATGTGATGATTATAGTTTACATGAGTACCTTTTTGCCTCTGCATCTGTATTTTATTATTATTATTTTTTGCAATAAAAACAAAGCCTGATTTATCAGACGGTTTCACTTCGTAGAAACCGTCTGACCTCGCAGTGTTAGAATTCGTTTGCTCGACGGTAGGTGGGTACTATTGATCATTTAACCAATCGCTGCTATTTGGTAGTCACATACATAAAGCTTTTCCCAAATTCCGGAAAGAAGAAGGACAATAACGTCTTTCCCCTTGATGAAATTCACCAAACATTCTCTTTATTCCGGCTTTAAATTCTCAGTCTCAGGAATTGTTGACAACACTGACTGAATATATGGCTCTTCGCTGAATGGCTGGTGCTCGAACTTGCACTTTTTTTTGCAAACCGTGTATTTTGATTTCTGACCTAATTGCTGGAGAGAAATGAAATTAAACGGAGGCACTAGGTGGCACCAGCCTGGCTAATAACTGTTTACTGTTACTTACCATAGCATTAATAAAACCAAATTATACTGAAATAGAAATGTATCTATAGAATGCCAGGACTTATTGTAAACACAGCCAATTCTTCCGAGACCTAAAATAACATGGGAACTGAAATGCCCCGCTAAAAACAAGGACAAGGGCAGAGAAAGGCAATGGCAGCAAGGTTATGCACTCTGAGGCCAGGTGGTAACAGCTCCCGTGGCAGTACACAGGTGAAGTACACAAACTAATGAGAAATAGTGTAGAAGCCTTTTAAACGCAGATAAAACGCCTGCTACCTGCTCACATTTAACAGCATTAGACGCCGTTTCATCATAATGCAGGGGGGTTACCTCACACAAACCAAAACAAAAATAAATGCGTGAATGCTGTAAATCGTATTTTTGGTCCTATATTTAAAAGCAGAGATGGTAGCGGAGGAGGACAGAGGATGTGACTCAGTGCTTTCTCTACTGCTCAAATTCATCACTAGATAAGGCTGCTTCAGGACACGCTGAGAAATATGAGGCAACACAGGTAATCTCCATTTTATGCTGGAGTTATTTTGACAGAATGTACTGATGGAAGCGCAATGTAAAAGGGTTTATATTAATTAGCATTTGTGACAGAAATATAAAGCTGGGAGATAATTTATTCATGATCCTAGAAGAAGAGAGAGCTGTGGCGGTGCAGGTGAGTGGACTGAACGGATGAATAAAGATCCGCTTAACCAGGCTGCCTTCATCGAGCTAATTTTAACTCCTTGGCTTAGACAATGAATCAGTTTAATAGCATTGTCTTTTCTTTAAGTTTTCTCCTTCCACTGGATGATTTATGTAATATTATTCAGGCTTGGAATAAACAGAAAGTCAATATGCATTTTTGAGTTGCCATATTCCAACTGGTTATGAATAAAAATGTGAAAAAGTGTGAAGTATAAACTATGGGTCAAAATAATGTTAAATTAATGAATCCCCTTCTAGCGCTGTCACAATACTAAACTTTAAACTAGCTTATAATACTAAAAAAAGTATTCCGATGAGAGTCTCTATCAGAAAGAAAGAGAAACAGAAGAGAACGCACCATCATTTTAGACAATAAAATGTCTTTTTGGCACAAAATAATACTAGTTTCTACCATGTGGTCTCATTCTAGATCGGATACGAGTACATTAGTCAGGAAAGGTCACATTTTGCCACATAAATTTCATTTTATTTGGTATAAAAATTAAAAGTAAAAAAAAAAAGTACCTAGTTTTAATACTAGTTTGAGTGTTGGTTAGTATTGTTGGTAAAAAAAAAAAAAATAAATAAATAAATATTTATTTATCTTATTTTATTTTACTTACTTACTTGTTATTACTTATTTTAGCCAGGAAAGCTCAAATTTTTACCCTATATATATGATGTTATTTGTTAAATTTCAAAAAAGTAAAAAAAAAACAAACAAACAAAAAAAATAGTTTCAATCCTACTTTTAGTATTGGTTAGAATCTTGGTAAAAAAAAAAAAAAATAATAATAATAATAATAATGATAACTCTACCCCACATTATTTACTTGAAATCTAGGTCTGATATACAGCAAGAACATAAAAAGTAAAAAAAAAAAAATAAAATTAAGTATCTAGTTTCAATTCTAGTTTTAGCATTGGTTAGTATTTGGGTAAAAAATAAATTAATTAAAATGACAACTCTATCTCACCTTATTTATTTGAAATCTAGTTCTGATATACAGCTAGAATATTAGCGAGGAAAGCTCAAATTTTGTCCCATATATGTGATTTTATTTTGCATACTTCAAAATTATAAAAAAAAGAAATGAAATCTAATTTCAATACTACTTTTAATATTTCAGTATAAAAAATGAGAGCTCTACCCATCTTACTCATTTAAAATGCAGTTTAATATTTCAAGAAATACTAAATCTTTTACTTACATTTATACACTGTACATAAATAGTGAGTCTAGTTGAAGTTGCTAGTTTTTTTTTTCTTTTTGCAAACTCCTCTGTAGTGCTTTGATCGCTACAAGACAAACCATCTAAAGCAGAATTGCCCAGTTCTATGTCTCATTATATTGTTACAGTGAATTGAGACAGAAACCTGCCTGTTTGATAGAGTGATTTTAAAGGCATTGTACATTGTGCCGTTGTTGATTTGTATTCCAGCCCACACATGTCAGCTCCAGTGTGGTATAGACCAGAGCCTGCAGAGAGAGTATATAAAGCCCATAGTTAAGGATACACTGCGCGTCAGCCTGGTAGATGGTCTGGTCGGGCTGGTTCACGTGCTGCATGGCGATAGCGTGGGGAAACTCGTTGAGCATCCGCTGTTGGAAAGCCTCCAGGCGCTCGTAGTCATGGCCACGGCAAACAAACTCCTTATTCTGCAGAGGAGGGCACACAGGATCACAGGGTTACAGTGACATCTAGTGGCTACAATCTAAAACTGCGCTCAAGAAAAAAAAGACCAAGGACAAAGCTTGTTACATCATTTAATGGCATTAAGTGTAGCTGAATGTCACCTCCAACTTTAGGAGTTTTAAAAGGAAAGTTAAGCCTGCGCAGTAAAGCTATAGAGCTCCGGACCCCACGTGACTCACGGTGGGCGGGCGCATTTTGGCAGTAAAAATGGATAGCGCCACCGCTGAATTTTTCAAGCCATCGGAGTACTCACTTTAATTCACAAGACATTGAGCTTCAGATCAAATTAAATGGATTAAACATTGACCGTATAATGCCGGGGGTGGTTTTTTTAAAAATATTTCCGCTGAAGAAGACTCCAGATACATGCAGTACATCGCCAAATGAACCAAAATTGGTCCGATTGACATGCCTCTGTTTCCTGGTAGAACAGCAATACCTCCAATTATCAACACAGATGTTCCCTGTTAAGACACGGGACATCCTCATCTCAAGAGTCATCATGAACTCGTAAACACAAAAGCACGGGTAACAGCAGCAGCAACACGATAAAAGAGGAGCCCTCACCGCAGCTCAGATCCCTCAGGACGGGGGCCTTGGTGTGGTCCTTGGTCCAGGCTCCGTCCTCATCCAGACGGTAGCGAGCAAGACCAAGGGTTGAGCTGTTCCGTGTCATCGTCTGCACGCTGGCATGCGGGAAAAGCGAGAAACTGTGGACTAAGGTCTGGACAGCTCAAAACTGCGGCTGGTTCCGAGGTGATGCAAAGCATCCGGACAAAGCATGTTGTTTAGCGTCCACGCTCTTGGTTCCTGGGAACGTTCTTGTAACTGACACCAGCTGTAGCTCCTTAAGCTGGTTCAGGACTCTTGAATGTCATTTTACACTAGGCTAGGACATTTTTAAAGTTCAATTGAATAAGTATTGGTTAAAGTTGGTATTGGAAACAAAATAATTTGGAGTTTAAAAGGAAAGTTAAGCCTGCGCAGTAAAGCTATTCCGCACTAACATTATTATAGATTTTCGTTTTACATTTAAAGCTTTTCTGTGTATTTTTATTTATATTTTTTTGTATTGGTTTGTTTTGGCTTATGTTGTTTTACTTAAGCCATATTTAGTCTTTTTTGTGTGTTTGGAGGGAAGGGAAAGGCTTTTCTCACACAAAATATCTGTCACACAAGAGATGTTTCTGATATAGTTTATATAGGCCTTACCCGTAAAAAGAAAGGAAACTTCTTCCCATAGAAACCGACTCTGAAAAACTCAGGCTCCAGCCGCTGTTGGTCCATGATCTTGTCGTACAGTGAAGCCTCCATCATCTAAATATCATAAAGCATAAAGTATAAATTAAGCAAAGTATAGTAAAAAGAAATCTGTGAAACCGTAAAACATTTTCATCAGATATTTGACATTAACATTCAACACTTACCCTCATCTTGCTCAGATTTCTGTAATCATAAAAGGACTCGTACTGATCTGCCAGCTCTCTGCAGAGGATGATCCCGTTCTCCCAGCACTACAGAGATCAGTAAACACACATTAGATACTACGGCATACACACTCAGACATGCAACAACACAAGAAACATCATGTCCAATCTTTAAACTGTCAATAATATGTTTTATAACTCTGCTCTTCTGCACTGTCTCCACTGGATGGCACTGGTGAGTCAGCTACGCTAGAAACCTCCTCCTCTTACACCCCCTTTCTGCAGGTGGGTACAGTACATGCGGCATCCAGCCATCTTGCTAATTAAATGAAAATCTTTCTCCTCCTAATCCCAGAGCGCCTGAACAGGAAATGGCACCGCCTCGTGAATGTTGAGTCAAATGGGACGATGAGTAATGAGGGGAGCAATTTTAATCATTCAGATGTTGGTGTTCTTGTGCATTTTTGAGGAGCTCCTTAATTCTGCTTTTTAAGAAGAGTGCGGTAATTATAGCACTATTTAAGTAATTATAAACATGCTCTCTGTGGGAACGTCCTTTAAATAGGACTTATTTGAGCTCTAACCCTCCTATTGGATTTTAAAGAAAAAACAGTTGCAGTTTTTCATTCTGTATTCTGCATTTTTAACGTTTTTTAGACACGTTTGCATTTACTGTAATATAAGTGCACAATATAAACTTGAAAATTACTCAAAGCTTCAGTTAGTGTGTGTTTTGTTAATAGATGGGCTTTTCTGTTCAAAGGTGCCATTTTGGGGACTTTTTTACTATTTAAAAGATCATTTACGCTTGAATTGCCATGGCAACTGTAGTAATTATTTATCGCTGTAAAACTCGTGGCTACAAAACAGCGGAAGAGTCTTGTAGAGCATCTCCTAACGTATTGAAAAGTGAATCAAGTATAAATTCTAAACTACAACGTGGAGGCAATTTGAGCACTGCCAGTGATTTAGATTTTAAAAACACAAAACTTCACAAGTTAAGAAATTTGTGCTAGTATAAAAAGAGCTCCGAAGAGAAGGACTAAAGATGTAAAACAGGAAAGAAAACAATTCCTTAAAGGCCACGAACATCATTTTTTTATTTATTTCAGCTGAATTTGTCTTGCTCTGGAATAGACACATTATATCAGCAGCTCTTCAGGCTAAAATATATCCTTGCTGGCCAGATCTAATTATGATACGTTTTAACCGAAATATCGTGATATTGTATTGTCAAAAGTCTCGTGGGCCATCACAATATATCAAATTACACATTTCTTTGCTTAAATGCATTGTTTTACAATAGCAACAGCTTATAAACATAGGGAACTACATATCCCATGGTTCCTTTCAGTGCAAACAACAGGAAAAAATATGTTTTTTACTTGAATTCTTGGGATTATGATGGAAACAATTCACACCAAAATCTTGTCAAGGTATTTTAAAAGCAGAAAAGTGTCCTGTCAGCCTCTCCAAAATATTACAATAAATATCGTACAGAGAAATGCATATCATGATAATATTGTACCGAGAGATTTGGATATCGTTACATCCTTGGTGTTTTATCATCTGTTTTATCATCAAGAAGTGTGTGTTAGCATGCTGGTTAGTGTTTAAACTCTGCACTGGTTTCTGAGACTTGTGAAAAGCACAGGGTAAATAATTAGGGTGATCTGAATGCATAAGCTAAGTGAGGAATAATTTTTGACCACTGCAAACCATTTCAAATAAACTAGTTCTGTCTCTCATGTTTTCTAAAATTAAAATCAGGTGCAACACTTTTAAGTTTTTGATTAACAAGTTATCCCCAGGTTTGACTTCTCCAAATTTAAGATTTTTAAGACCTT